GCGAATGCATTTGGCTCACATGAATCACGAACATCTACGATTTTGTTACAGAAAGTGTACTGGCGGTATTTAAAAGAAAAACATAGTTAGAGCGCTCTGTTATGGTATTAACCCAAGTCTCACCTGAGAACGCTGAAAGTCCTGTCGACTCAAAAAACAAACAGTATTCTGTGTAAGATAAGTGATTAATGGCTCCTCTCAGAGTTTCTAACATTGACGTATTGCTGTACTGCTCTCCTTCTTCTACAAAGTTTCTCCTCAATATCGTTTCCATTCTCACGAAACGTCTTACGTGGACATATGATGCACTCAGGGTACTACGAGAACCATCTATTACAATTCACTGACCGAATTCCCTCCAAGTTTATTTGTTATGTTACACTTTTGAGTACATCATCAGGCTTTATGAGCATCATCCCCGCTACGTTCATATAGCTCGAATAGAAAAATGACGAAATCGTTTGGAAAACGGGAGTGGTGGTCCACACCCTCCTCGTGATGCTGTCATGTGTTCGAGTTCTTCTAATATCTATGATAAACGATTGATAGAGAAACTGCATTAAATGATGTAGTTGTGATAGTAGCCGAATATTGCTGTTACGATCTGGAGCCGCCTCACCAAAAGTCCATGATATGCGCGATAAGGCAATCACCATGGAGGGTCTATAGAGGAAACTCAGCAAGCAAATCGCGCTAGGTTCATCGTATTCAGCATGAAGACGGCTGAAATATCTATCAATTGTTATTCAGAGTGCAGAGAGAAAAATTGTGCTTCTACTCTGAGGCTTTCCGGTTTGAAACGAGGGCAGTTAAGTTGAAAATATTGTGGATGTTCCCCAACAATCTATGTATTGTTTCGAAGATAGTGGTAATTCCACTTATTCAACAGTAATAAAAATTTTCTCCACATATATCACGACATAGAAACCGATTTTTTTTTGAGGCGCTCTCTTAAACGGTCTTTTCTGCCTGCATCGACGTGAGTTCCTGCAACAATTTTCTGCAGATGGCATTTGTTACCATCTGCGCTACACTTATAACAACCGTATCCAGTCTTTCTGAAATCTTTTGTTATTCATGGATTTCTTTTCATTATTACGTAACGGCGAGAGTTCTTTTCTAGTCCGCAGCTGAACTGAACCCTTGCACGAAAGATATAATAATCAGATCCAGTGGCACTACACCAATGCCAAATAAGCACGATCTCTTATCTCAGAGGAGGTGATCTATATTATAAATAAATTACGTCACCCCGCAATTCCCCTGCCCAGCGGTGAATTTCCTTCATATAGAACAGACAATCTCAACCACAAAGACAGTCCTCACTCTCATTTTGCTCTAGCATTCCAAAATTGCCCATACTGTAGATTCGTCATCTAGTGCAATATCTCTTCTCGTGAAGGTGAAGGTTTAAACAACAAATTTACAAAAAGCCCTTCGTTACACCTCTTCGAAATGCTGTAGAACTCATGCAACGTACGCACTAACATGTCGTGGTAATTGCGCTGAGAAAACAACAGTGGGTGGCGCGAGTGCGATTTCATTAATATGCTCTTAGTGGACCAATGTACTGATTGACTCTAAGAGGTTATTAAAATTTCAAGTAACAAACCGTTTTGAAAACCACGAAATAAACGACGACGGTTGGTAACAAAAAGAGTAGAATTGTAAATAACAGCGTAGTGATAAATTGCTGTCTGGTATCCAGGCGGACCTGCAATACATTTATAAACAGTGGTACGTCCTCTCATTTCCAAACAGGCCATCAATAAACTTGTGCTCTGACTTGTATTGTTTTGATAAATCACAAACACAAATAAATTGAGAGGAATCGAAACTAAAAAAATCGCAGAAAAGTCGCAGCAAATACAAATCTGCACCAGATAAACACTACAATTTAAACTGTTTTCGGCACTAGCTTAGGCCATAAATGCTCTCAGATTTGCAGTTTTGTCCCTCAAAAATCTTCTTTGAAATTTGTATATTGGGCAGCCTTCAGCAATACTAGGTTCAAGCAAAATTAAGTGTCCTCCTTGTCGTTAAGAATTTACGAATTTTACGAATAAATTTTGTCGCAAAAATTTGTTGTCTAGTTTTTTTCTTAATGTAATCTAAATTTTTCTCTACACCATTCTAAAACGTGTACAACTGAAACGACGCTTTTAACGTTCTCCACGGAAACAACATGAAATACTAGGAAAGCATGTCAGTATGGAAGCGCGTCCGAACGCACAGTGCTCAGATGATTTGAAAAGTTTAGCACAGGAGATGTGAGTTATAACGATAATTCATGGTTATAAGTACAACGGTGAGTTGAAAATGGATGAAGAGCAAACAGACTGTTGTTGTAAACGATATCCTCGGCTTCCTATACTTAACAAAAACTACCGACTTCCCATTTGCACTGTGATGACACAAAAACGTGAATCCTATATGGAAATCGACGACTTAACGCAGTGGTGGTGATCCCATTTATTGGGCGGACAGCCCAACCTACACAGACTCTAGTTCAACGCAGCATCTGTCCCACCGACCATTCTCCCTTCGGCGTGGAAAATTGATACCAGACATGTCTGCAACAAGCTCACTCCCTCTAGTCCAAATGCGAACACCCTAGGACCGCTATCCCAGGATTCCAGGGAGAATTGACTCCACCAGAATTCAACAACATTCACGACGAAAATGAAAAAATCCTCAAGCACCAGCCAAGCCCACACGCAAGAAAAGAATTCGCAGACGGTAGATGCGAGGTAACGAATCAAACGCAAGAAGTGCTGGGACCCGCACAATGGATATACTGGTGATGTCCAGTCATGTAATAACAATAAATAAGTTTCATTAGAGCCGCGTTACAGTATCGCAAATTTCCCGTTTATGATCGGCCATCGTTTGTTTCCCAATCTAATACAAACGCTCACTTGACACGCTAGTTACTCGAGAACTAAGCGTAGGAAAAAGCGAGAAAACTAAATGCAAAATTCTCTCTAGATCTTGGTGAAAAAATTGAATCTTGAAAATCGTGTACCAGACATTTGCGACCATGTAACGTGCACCTTAAATACTTGTCCATAAACGACATATTCACTCTCGCTCATCATGTCACTTTCTAGGCAACTCCTACACACTCCTTCTCCGAGAACGTAGGGATCGCAACTTGAAGCAGTTTTCGAGGACGTTCTCGAAGCTGTGATAACCGTTGAATCCCTTTCTGTTTAGGTGACCAGTGTCGGAACAAGCACAGTGGGAGCGCGATGAGCGAACTTTTTGTTGGATGATATACGAAACTCTAAACTAATCACTATATCTATCTGCGAGTCAAATTTTGAACAACAAACTAGCGGCTATTGTGTATAAGTCAAACTTTTATCTATCTTTTCGTTTTTGCTTGCACTACGTTTCTTTCATGGTAGTGGCAAGTATGCAGAATTGTTCTTAGCAATACTATATAGCTAGTTTGCTCCAACGATTACAAAATATCAAACCCAGTTCGTATCAGAAAACTGAGAACATTAGTTTGCAGCAGAGTAAACCAAGTTTGAGTTAAGCAGAGACCTCAACATGTTGGCTGGTACGGATCGCTTGTTGTTGATTAGAGTGTATAACGTATATCGGGAACTATGACTGGAATTACGAGTGAAGTAATGGCAACGTCTTCATATGGATCAAAAACAACTACTGTTATATAATGGTAATCAGAAATTGACGGACGTGTGTGGCGCAGTAGTCGGAGGCGCCCCGCGTACCAGATTTGTTTGAGGACAAAGGCACTAGCCCGATATATCGGGAGACCATCGCGAGCCATTGCAAAGGCCAGTTATGCATTCAATCATCACTTACAGCAATGTTTAATGACAAGTCGAACGAATGGCGCATCCCTCAGGAATTGATCCACGCGGACAGCTTTTTTTAACAAAAAACAAAAGAACAGCTGTGTTAACTGAAACTACTAAGGCAGATAAAACCATGCACTCTCTCATGAAAGACCTTCAATTAGTACAATAAGACGTTTACTACCCGTCAACCTCATGATATAGTTCAGTTAGCAAAGCAACGGTTAAAAAAATGGTTATCTATAATTTCAAAGTATTCAACAACCACCAACGCTGCCCACACACTACCTGAAACTTCGTGGAGACTGTCTTATCTGTGTAACCCGATGATATTGGGGGGTAGGGAGTTCAAAACTGCTGAGGATATATCAACAAAGCACAAATTTGGGTCAGATAAAAGAAGACCTGCACCATTATAACAATTCATAAGCTCACAACTGTACATCAGCACCATCACTATGACTGGCTCAATTTCTCGACATAGTTAAGGTATACTGCAATGGTTGATGCAAGTACCATAATTAGCTATAGCGGAAAGAAAACACACCGTGTCCGTTCGATTCCGCAACGGATTCCACTTTTTGCCCCGAAACACTCGCCACAGAGAACATAAGCTGGAGCAAGCCACCTTTGCAAGTCTGTAATATGGCTGGTACAGGTCCATTAATCACCTCAAGCCCTTTTTATACTTAGAAGTACGAGCTCAACGTATCTATGGAACTGTCTGTGAATCTTAGCACTAAGCTCTAACGCAGATTCCCTTCCTACTATCTTTCGATCATTCACTAGTTCCTCTTCTCACAAATTATGAACCGCAAATAACTGTTAATAATAATAATAATAATAATATACAAGGAGTTTAAGCCATGATCTATTCAGAATGTACAACTTTCTAATACCGGTAGAATTCAACAGAAGTAAACATATCACGCTCTCATACTAAAAAGTATAAACAGGGCATTCATCGAGATCCAAAAGAAAGATAGATCATGAAAAAAAAACGAAATTTAGACATCCATTTATTGCAACACACAACAAGAAACACATTTTACATCTTGTAAGAGATCTTTCAGGTGACATTAACCTGTTAATTACTTCGAGAATAGAAACGACCATAGATTAAAAGAAACAATGCAATGATGGAGAGTAGACAGAAATCTAGCATTGCGTCTATCTTGCTCGATAGACCCGGATCAGTAATCCTACGTATCCGATAACATAGAATCCGAAGATGAACGCCGTTATTAATATGAGATCCAATGTGAATCGATCTGCTTTGAAGGACAATTGGCTCAAGACTTCGTCACGATACTGTAATTAGTGTGATCAGTGATACTGTAATCAGATACAAATATCATCAAATGTTATCATGGGTGTAATCGAATAATAAAACATCGAAGATAACTTATATATAAAACTGAGATATTTGCAAAACACCGGACCGCAGGTGTAAGCGGTGGGGAACGAACGCGCGCTATTGTCCTTACCGGGGAGTAGCGCACTTCACCACCACACCATCCGGGTCTAATCAGATACAAGACCCGGATGGTGTGGTGGTGAAGTGCGCTACTCCCCGGTAAGGACAATAGCGCGCGTTCGTTCCCCACCGCTTACACCTGCGGTCCGGTGTTTTGCAAACATCTCAGCATTATATACGAGTTATATTTCGCAACATATCCTGCCATTAAAAAGAAAAAGGCAGTAGATAAAAGGGTTAACATCGAGGATAATTCATATTGAATATGTTATAATATTCGCCTTAGAATAGTTGTGCACAGTGCAGTCAAAGTAGAAAAACGATAAAACTCTCGACGCTGATCAATCCCTGAGGGATGCTCCACACATTCGAGTTTATTAAGCATCGTTAGAGGTGATTCAATGCATATCTTGCCTTTACAATGATTTGCGGTAGTCCACCGATGCATCAAGCCAGTGCTGCTGTCCTCAGACAAGTATGGTACCAATTTGCGTACTCGGAGGGATGGAAGGCTAGATGGGCCAGGGAATCCATCCCATATGTATTGCCAAGCGCCTTCGACCACTGAGCCAAATGCATCCTAGCAGTCAGCGTAAGGTATGGTATAAGAAGATGGCTAAACATTTAGGTGGGTCCTTTAAAGTTTATTATTTTAGAATTCAATTCAAATCCAACAACTGAAAACAGTTATATACTGAAAGAATCATATCAAGATGTTTCGAAAAGGCGTTAAAGAACATGTGAAACACTTGTTATGCAAACATCATTTTAAATGCTTTGTAATGTACGTTCTCCTAAAGTAGTTGAACACAGGGTAAACATTGAAAAAGACGCTCATAGTATATACCTTGGCAAAAAAGGATAAAAAAAAATTTCCATAACCTTTGGTCCCCAAATCGTCGAATTATTCACTTCCTCCCATTGATTAATAGCAAACAACTCGAATCCATATCTGAAAGATCCAGTGGAATAGAGACGTACAACAAGACGTACACTGTTTCCTCCATAACAATTTATGTACAAAGGAAACGACCACCCATAGATAACACAAGAATCAGAAACGGACCTGAACCAACTGAAATATTGGATCCAGCTAATATAAACTGGTAGTGAGCCAACGTTTGCATACAAACCACCAGTTAGAGACAGTAACGTAAGAAGCGGGCCCGCCAACGAGGCAGCAATATAAAAAGTCATGACAATTGCTTGAAAATAGACCAAAAAACGAAGACGAAAGATACGTACTGGATACGATGGCGATATTGATCCAATCATAACACCACAAGCCGTAGCTGATTGCTCCGTAAGAAAACTGATGAGTGAGGCCAACAATACCTATAACGACCGAATAATTTAACGCTTATAGAATTCACAAAAGTCCATACTTGCGAGAGGGAGCTGGAGAATCCAACCATCCAATAGCACACATAAAGCATCACGAGTCCATCTAAGCTGAAGAGTGGCATGTATGATATAATACGGGCCAAATAATAACTGAAAAAAATTATGTACGTCGGATTGGAGTTTGCACAGCAGAAGGATAAAACGAAATTTAGGTAGATTCGAAAGGACTGGGTCATAACTATTTTCGTCTTTCATGACACTACAGGCCTAAATATCATCGCTTCTAACCCAAACAATTCGTCTGACAGAACTATTGAAGAATTCGGATGTTGCTCCAACCTGATAACGCTATAAAGACCATCATGATGTTCTCTTATCACGAGCGGATGATCAGACGGTATACATGCGAGAATACCGAACAAGGTCGAATACGTTAGCTCACAGACTATGTAAAACAGTGCACCGTTCAGGTTTCCAACACCAATAATCGTTAAAGGAGTCTAAAGAAAGACATGTTTGAAATCTATGGACTAAGACAGAAAACAGACAACTAATTAAAACCTGAAAATAAAGCAGCCCAATGAAAAGACCCAATACTGTTTTCTGGAGAAATTTAGCTCGCGCCAGAGCAGGATTCCGTAAATTATCCAGACAATGTCTAAATAAAACTACTATTTTTTCATCGTTAAAACATACAAGCTATACTTAATAGTACAATAATCAACACAATAAGTAATTTTTTATATAATACTGTGAGCCAAATGGTCAAATGAAACTAGCTTTAGTTAGTTAACGAAAAGCCGTTGTACAATCGCTATAATGATACTTTACAGTAAACAGTGCTATATAATCTCAAAAGAGCAGTAAATAAGCTCAAAAGTCTCAAATTCCGAGGTAAGTTTCCCTTCTCACGCACCTGAACACACTACATCACAATACAATCCACCACATAAACATTCTCAGCTTAACAGCATGATAAAAACCAACCTGTGCAGGAGGGCAGCAACTTGAGTGAAGAAATGGATTTGACGACGACCGTTAGGAACTTTGCTAAGAGGAATGCTTGCTATCTCCCGAATCAAAGTCTTCCCATAACTCCTGTAACTGGTTTGTATCTTGGTCTACACACTCAAATGAAGGCATTATGGTCAGGTAAAGCGTCTAAATAGCTGAAAACACTCTGAGAACTCAACCCAGTAAGCAAATTACTCGAAAGCTATGAACGACAAAACGACTAAAGCATGAATGAGAACTACTCGTAGCAACTCCAATATCTATTCTATAAAAAGTTACTTAGATGTGTAGAAATCTGAAATTGAAAGCTGAAAACATTAAAATCATAGATTCCACAGCATTGGGAACGAAACGGTACAGTCCTTCCTAGTTTAGGCGAGCTTTTCTCAGAAACACTCATTCTTACACAAACGAAAAAATTCTAAAGTAAACAGAATATAAACCAAAAAATACGAATACTACAAAATGTATGTAGAAACAGTACATTTTTAACAAACACACCAATAATACACAATAAATAAATATTCGGGTGAATCGCTAGATTGCCTGACCAAAGCAAAACAAAAAAAGAGCAAAACCGCGTACCCATTCTCAAATGCGTCACAGATCTTAGTGACACGAATTCGACATGCTTCCTCTTCGTTAGGTACAATGGCCAGAGTATGAATGAGAAGATCGGCAGGATTGTAGTTACGAGGACAAGGATATCCGCATTCTTCGAAAAACTTTATACACTCTTGCGGTGTTCCGAAAAATGCAGTGTGGCCACCCGCTGAAAATTCGGTATGCGCTTGTAAGGTCTACAACGATAGCTCGGTTTAGGAAATTGGTAAATAACGTAGAGTAGAGTAAGGTGATACCCTGAAAAAGCTAAATGTACTGGCTATTCAGCACGGAATTTTCGACGTTCCACTACGAAAGGACCTGTCTAGCGCAGTGGCCGGAAGTGCTCAGCAATACACATGAGATTGATCCCCACGCACCAGGCTCACTAGGCCTTCCATCCCTCTCTGGTCGGCAAATTGGTATCAGACTTGTCTAGGAGGATAGCAGCACTGGCTTGATACATCGGTATGTCACCATAAAGGAGATATGCATTCGGTCACCACCAACGATGCATAATGACGATGAATGCATGGTGCATGCCTCAGGAATTAATCAACGCCGAGAGCTTTACCCTTTATCCCTTCATCCATTACGAAAGTATCACACATCTCCTTGGATTAATACAAGTTTTCATTGATAAATGTTTTGCATATCTTCATAACGCGATTTCCGTTTGCATTTTCAAGCTTTTTTTAAGTTTTAATTTGAGTTTAACCTAGGCCATACAGGAAAATGTGAAATAAAAGGAGAAAACAAGTTCAACAATTCTTTTCATGAAATAAATACACTTTCTATGGTGACAAAAACAGCCTTTGAAACAAAAAACGATCGTAAAGGATATGCTGCCATCAAGGATGATCATTTGAAGACGATAACTAATATAACTAACTAATACTAAAATAGTTAAAAATTTATTCGCATCGCTCGTGAAAACTAATCAAGTACCCGAGTATATATAGCACTTTAAATTTTCGTCAGTAACCGCATATTTCATGGATAACAATCCATAACAGCCTTGTGCTAGTTATGAACGATAATTTTAAGGACGAAATCCAAAATGACCCTTTCCGTTTACAACCTGAAGAAATGCAGTGAAAATCGGTGAAACTCATTGCTACAATATTACTGCTTTAATTCGAGCACTAAACTGTGACTTTACCTAGAAGCATTACACGATCAAACATTAGAAAGAGCTGAGACGCAGGCTGGTGCACGGTACACACGATGGTCCTGTAATTCACAGAATTACACACGAAATAATAAAATAAAAACTATCTCAGAACAATGAAACCAAACCTTCCCCCGTTCGCCAGTTTAGACAGTACTGTTACAACATTTTCAGCCATAAACGAGTCAAGTCCGGTAGTGGGTTCGTCACAGAAAAGAAGTGCTGGATTCGAGAGCATCTCACACGCAAAAGTTAAACGGCGAGCCTCACCACCTAGATTAAGTTCGAAGAAAGATTTTTTTAAAAGGATAAACCTAAGAGTAACAAGAATAAATTGCATCAATAAGACGCATTTAGTAGATTGTTAAAAGCGCTCTGCGATGCAAACAATTCTTGTTCTACTCTGCGCCCAAGGCTTACCAGTTCCCACGAGCCGACAAGAAGGAGATGGAGTGGTCTGTGCTGGTAAAAAAGTACTGAGTTGAAGCACTGGAAGATCCCACAAGTTATCGTGCAGATCAAATATACAATCAATTGCCCTGCGATGCTTAACACATTGGTGAAACGAGTCAGATACGAAGTAAGGGCTTCAACATAAAACCGCCGTCATGAGTCACTTGTGATTCACATCATTTTCTATGATTTATTTAGACGTCTATTTTGCCCAATTTTTTCTGTTCCCATGCAAAGCAGATGTGACGGGATTCGTCCAAGAAGAGACTTCCCCAGCATGAGGCAAGTACAACTATGTGCTCACCGTAACTTACCAGAATTCACCAATGTGCTCATGGAGTTCATGGCGCATTCTTAAAGAACAGACGAGCGCTGAACGTTCTATCTTCCTCTTTATCACACCTTGATCCACCATATAGCTAACACATACAACGATGAGACAAAACTATCGAGCAAGAAGGATTCCGGGAGAGATCCCGCTGCATGGACCACATCACCGTACCGCGAGTTTTCATATTTGACATTTTCGCAATAACACAACAGAAGTCGTTGGGAGCACCATCTGCCCCTTGCCCTAAACCTTTATTCACTATGAAAAACCGTTTGACAGCGGCGAAGCGAAAGCACTCTTATCAGCGCTCGTCGACCAAGGAGGTGAACCTGTCCTACATAAGAACTCTATCTGACAGTTATCGGAACTGTACCACAAAAATACAGGTTTTCCATCGACCTCTTATCATACCACTAGAAAAGGGGTTGGGCAAGGAGAAACAATATTGTCAAAACTCTTTACTGCCGCAGTGCAGTGGATAATGAGGTCACTCGATTGAGATGAGAAACTCATATGCATTGATAAAAAAAGATTCTATCACATCCTCGCTCCCCGGATGACATCGCCATTTCGTCGAGGAGTACCAATAGAGCAGAAAGGACTATCAATGAGCTCAATGAAGCGGAAAAAACGATTGGACTGCGCCTAATAGAACGAAGACCAAGTTCATGAAGAACCCATGCTGTGAAGGCTAACAAATCGAACTGGGTGGTTCTCTGATTACATAAACCACCTCGTACGCGTAACTTGGACGTTCAAGCAACATGGTAAGCAACTTGAAGGAGGCATTATAGAGAAGAAGGAAAACAACAAGGACCGCATTCAGACCACTCAGTGGAGCCACCGGCCAACTAACGAACTGCAAACTCCGCGCCCACATTTTGATTCAACAGTTCACCTAGTGCTCTTTAAAAGTGCGCAGCTCAGATATTCGAAACATATCCCACGTTTAGGATCCAGGAGAATATATATCGGTAGAGAAGCACGGATGGCCCGTTCACATAATAAGAAGAGTAGATGACAGATGAACAGAAGGAAGAATAGAATAGATTCCAAGAGAATAGAAGCGTTTTATTAGAAAACCACTTAAACGATAAGCGGACGTGTTCGTGGCTAACGTCAACCATCTGCATTCGCAGATGGAATCTACTTCACGGATTCGGAATGCCCCTTGAGGACGTCACAATGTTCGAAGCAGAACACCAACATCGAGGACGTATTCACGAGAGAGAAATGGAAGGAAATTACGCTGGTCCCGCACAATCACTGAAGACAAACCATTCAAGCACCCAAGAAAGCAGGCGAATTATCAGATGTGCTTTTAGAACTACGTTTGCCACATCGTCTGTGATGGGTAAATAAGTGAGTGAATACAAAGATTATAGCAAAAAGCCAGTGTAGCAAATCAACGGCTGCAAAGAAAATGCACTGATATCAACGTAGACGGTTCAATCTGCACTCCAAATATCGATGTATCGATATTTCATACAGTTGGCAGACAGACCAATGCATACAGTTATGGAAAGGCTAAGAAATAGGCAACGATTTACCTGATATGCCTTTGCGAATGCCAACGACACCAATCCTAGTGTTTTGACACTTTGTGAGACCGAGTTTGGATAATATAGCGCCCACGCGTAATTCTCTCCCCTTCTTTGATAGATTCGTCCGGAGGACGGCCTATGACAAAGAGTTGATATCGGCATCAAACTATAGGCATGAGAAGTTATTCACCTGGATAGATAAGTATTCGCGAACGGTTAGAGTACCAATGAACAACTCTTCCTGTTGAGCATAGCCCGATATTGCTGATATTTGACGACCAACCTGAATACGGTTAATAAACTTGTCATTTCTCAAGTCGATTCGAGCTCCCCAGAACAATCCCGTTGACGGGTGATTGCTGATGCCAGTGATCGATAGATCTAGCTGAGAGACAGGTCAAACGAAGGACCCGCATGGTGTGGTGGTGAACGCGTTAACCCCAGGAAAGGATAGTAGCGCGTTCGTTCCCCACCGCAGAAACCTGCGGTCCAGAGTTTTGCAAACATCTCAGGATCATTGTGGTTGTTTCACAAATAATGCCCTACCGTGAAAACTTGTAAAAGGCAGTAAATAAAAAGTCAACATTGGAAAACTTGACACAATTAATAATGTCTAACATACCTCATTACCATTCACTTCGACGGTGCCTTCTACTTCTAGTCCTTTCAGGTTCCGAGCAAGAAGTGTGTTCAGCAATGTTGTTTTCCCAGAACCACTGAGAAAGCAATATTATGAACAAAACAAAACATGTTTATAACACATTCTAGAAAAACAACTCCAAAACTGCAGCATTCTAAAGAAAAAGAATAAGTTAGATGAGTTGTATATTTGCTTTCATGTCTGTGTATGCACCAAGCAAAATTATTAAAAAGTTATACAATACAACTACAAAGTAACCGTCAATAGAACATTACTTTATAGATAGTTTTGCAGCAAACGCGTGAATGTAGCTAAATAAGAATGTTTGCAGTTAACAGACCAAGACATAGAGGACAGTCTTAGTGAATGAATCCTTCAAGACAGAATCATTCTATGCAAGTTCACATCGTAGCAGGTGGGAGTTCTCTCATGTCGAACTACGAAAGAACAAAGTCAACTCACAGAAATCATCAGATCAGTAGTTTGAAGTTCACCTGCATCACCTGTAGTCCCGTTGATCGTCGAGTGACTCGAGCGGGCGCCAGTAAACCTTCCATTTCTTCCTGTCGCCTGCAAGAGTAGTCCAGTGGCTTCTGCTCGCTATAGACTCGTTGAGCATCATACCTTTCTTCTAGGCTCTTCGTGAAGAACTCCAACCAACGGGTCGGTGGTCTTCCTGCAGTACGTTAGACATCCCGAGGAATCCAGTCACTAATGGCTCTTGCCCATTCGTTGTCATTCATGCGCATTACGTGTTCGGCCCACCTTATCTACGACTGTTTGTTGTACAGAACGGTATCTTCGATTTTTGATCGTTGATGCAGGTCGGAGCTTCGTATCCCATCCTCTACTTGTATGGAACGGGATACTCCTAGAATCGCCCTTTCGACTGCGCGTTCAATAACGCTGAGCGACCTTTTATCCTGCTTACGCAGCGACCAGGTTTCTGACGCATAAGTTAGGGCAGGAAGTACCGTTCAGTAGAAAAGGTGGAAACGGAGCCGGGTGTTCTTCGTTCTCTTCACTACATCCTCGATTATCCTGAAATCTACCCAAGCCGCTCGTTTCCTTCTGCTCAGCTCTAGAGCTAGGTCGTTCATCATATTGATTTCCCGACCTAAATAGACATAACCGGAGCATTCGGAGATATTCGTTGCGTTGAGCGTGAATGGAGCATGCGAAACCAAACCGTTCTTCAAGAACATCGTTTTTGTGAGTTTTGTCGAAGACCAATCTTTCCACAGGCTTTATCAAAGTCGTGAAGCATGCGTTCCGCTTGGCTAATGTTTGGTGTTATACGGACGATTTCATCAGCAATGCGAGGATGTAACTGCCGACCGTCGATTCTCACTCCCTTACTAACCCATTCCAATGTTCGCATGACGTTCTGGAGGGTGGCGGTAAATAGTTTTGGTGAGATGGTATCGCCTTGCCTAACTCCTCTTTTGGCGTCGATGTTAATGTCGTTGTTAAATGGTGATATCTTGGTTGTGAAAATTTTATACAGCTGACGAAGAATTTTTATGTACTGAGTAGGTGCACCTTGACTATCAGGGACTTCCCAGACTGCTTTTCCCTCAACTGATTCAAAGGCCTTCCGTAAATCGATGAAAGTGAGACAGAGCGGTCTTTCGTACTCTCGCGATACTTCAATGAGCCGTGTTACCGTGTGGACGTGATCCATCGTAGTAAAACCTCTTCGAAACCTTGCTTGGTCACAGGGCTGTCCTTCGTCCAGTGTTCTGTCAATCCTGTTTAGGATAACTCGAGTGAAAAGTCTGTAGACGACAGACAGTAAGCAGACTGGGCAATAGTTGCCGATATCGTGTAGGTCACCCTTCTCGAACAATAACACGGTCTGGCTGGTCTTCCACTGAGTAGGGATCTTGCATTCAGACAGGTAACGTGTGAAGAGCCGAGCCAGTGTGATTACGAGGACTGGCGGAAAGTTCTTCAGGTATTCTGGTCTTATCCTGACCGAATCTGGTGCTGTTCGATTTTTCACCGACAAAATGGCATGGCGGATTTCGGAAGGGAGAACCGGTGGTACGACATATCCATCCTCCTTAATTTCATACGGCAGAAGGTCGACGTGGCTACCGAAGAGATCCGAGTAGTACTCGTGAATGATTTTCTCCACTGCCTTTCTGGACGTTGTAACTGTTCCGTCTGGGCGTCAGAGTGCAATCATCTTGGTCTTGTAATTCGCGAAGCATCGGCAGGCTTTTCAAATGCTTTTCCCAGCCTCTACAGCTTCGATCATTACTGCTGCCCTTCTCTCTTTAAGATCTTCTTTTATCGCCTGTCTGCATTGTTTTACAAGTTCGGACGTTAGTATGCGGTTGCACGCAGCTCGTGCGATTCTACGCTGGCGTATCAGCTCGAGTGTTTGTGGAGACAGAGATCTCTTGGTGACTTTCGAACTCTGAGTTTTCATAGTGCTAACGTGAAGGCGTTGAATGAGCCGATTGTATTCTTTGTCGATGTTATCGACAACGGCATCTTCGCAACAGCCGACTAATGAATTGAATAAGTCCCAGTTTGTGGTGGTTCTGGGACTTTGGTTTTTGAATTTAGCGGCTTTTTTCCTTTCCGCGAGAATAGAATCTTGCACGAAGGAGACGGTACTCTGATCACGAGTAGAATTTTAGGATAACAGCGAGATCGGTTAGGCAAAACCTTCTATTTACTATGATGGTCTGTTTCGTCATGGTACTCTCCATTGGGAGACTCCCACGTCCAGCGCTGAGGGTGGGGCTTCTGGAACTGCGAGTTACCATGGATTGTCTTGGTCGCCATAATAAACTCAGACAGCCGCTCACCCTGTTCGTTCCATTCTAATCCGTGGGTCCCAATGTGATGTTCCTCAGACGTTCTTCTTGGTCCAATCTTGGCGTTGAAATCTCCAATGATGACGTTGAAGAATGTATGGTGTTCTCTGCAGAACTTCTCCAAGTCCATATAGAACGCTTCGACTTCTTCTTCGTCATAGTTTGATTTCGGCGCGTAAACAACGAAGGTTGTCGAAGCCGGAATTGATCCACTTCTTTTTAATCGTAAACGTCTGATTCGGATTGTAAGCTGTTCGGATGAATCGATGTTCATGGACAAACTCGTGTTGACGAGAACGCCGACGCCCCCGACTCCTCTACTGTCGCGTGTTCCGAGGAACAGTTATTCTCCGGTGTCATAGACGGCTTTGAAAGGCTGGCGTCTTCTCGTCTCGTTTAGGCGGATGACGTCGTACTTTATCATTCTTACTTCCATGAGCAAATCTTCTATCGAGGACTCGGATGCAAGTGTACGTGCATTGTAGGTACAGATCGTCACCATAGTTCTTTCTTTTACTTCTTTAGTTTTTCATAGATCGTCATAGTTTGCGGTTATCATCCAAAAATACAGACAACTGCAAACCAACGCCAAGAACTTCCACCGGGCTGACAGAAATTTCACCACAAGGCAGTTCTCTTTCCTCGATTAAATATATTTGCTGCTTAGAACATTTTTTCACGGCGGGGTACTATGTGAGATAGAACCACAATGACACTGAGATATATGCAAAACTGCGGACCTCTGGTGTCTGCGGTGGGGACCGAACACGGCATTACCTTTTGCGGAGTTAACGCGTTCACCACCACATCATGCGAATCTTTTGTTTCACCTTTCGCTCAGCAGTGCTACTGACTTATAGGTGCTATAAGCAATGGCGATAAACGCATTAGCCCAGTAAAAGTCAATGAAGTGTTCGAATAAATGATAAAATTATGAAACAGTATAAGCGGAGAATGTTACACAGCGATGGTGCAATAGTAAACAAACTCTAAGTAAAGAAAATACACAAAGAAAATAGAACACACATACAGAATTGAGAGAACGTGGAGATGAAAACATCCCGTATTAGATACAGGAGGAACAATTAATTCGCATACCTCACTCCCATCAGAGCCATAAGTTGGCCTGGTTTAGCAAAACCAGAAACGTTATCCAGCAGCACACGTCCTGTCTGACGGACCGAAATCCTAAACATCTAGTCTTGTGATTTCCATTTAAGACATACATAATTATTCATGTGAACACATTCACGAATGTGATGATTTTTCAACAGCAGCTGGTAAGTTCTCGACAACTAGAATAGTTGAGGATCTGAAAACTTTACAGACTTAAAGAGACTGTCCCCTTGTTATAAGTGTACATTACAGTCTCTTAGACTGTTATTCTACCTTAACTTATTTAAAGTCCAAAATTTCGAGAAGTTTAGAACAAATATCGGGATCTCTATCCTAGTGCGACAGCTGCAAATAATGAAGCATTCGCGGTTATTATAGCATGCTTTTAGATGAACCGCTTATTCAACGGCTTCGCTACTCGCGATATAAACCACAACGAAAGAAGAAAAAACATATGGGCATCTAAGGACTAAGAATCTACAAATGTTTGCCGGTGTGACCATGATTTATCACTCTGGCAAAGATTAGTAGATTCTAACGATTATGTTTTCAATTCCTCCTAACGGTTTACCGCCTCATTGCGGCTGAAAGGTGTACCTGGGTGTCGGGTTGCGCTGTACAGAGGGGATTTATCCCCTGGCAGGGTCTCCCAAGCTGAGAAGGTGTCCGGCGTTTCCATCAGGAAACCTAGCTAAAAGTAAACCAATACCAGAATCCACCACCGTCCTGGTATTAAAGTCGCATGGTGGCAAATCTCCTTCTGATCTACAAGAGCTACGATTGCACGTGCTGGCCAAGACCTGGGGCAGACTTTGGCCAGGCTGTTCTCGGAACTCCATGGAACCACAATGGCTAACTCAGCAAAACTCCGAAAAGATGGAATTTATGCTCAGACCCGCACAACCAGTGACGATGGGCCATCCAAGTGTCTACGTAAGTTTTCTTTCAATTAAAGCTCAGTATGGCTTAAATATGCCTTTTTAAAGTCGAAAGAGTAAATTATTTACAAGTACAATTGCGCTTAAATCCACGTCCTTTGTATTTCAAAGAATTCCTTCATCAACCTTGCATTAGCCTATCAATGAAAGGACACATATGTTCTTTGTGTTAAAAATCGATTTATCGTTTTATCAAAAATCGATAGTCAACACCTACCATTATCAATATAATCACAATATTAAGAGAAATTCAAAAACGCTTAGACGTACCGTATACTCTTCCAAGCAAGAGTGACTGGTTCAACAGTATCGAGTAATGTTTTTTCACTGGCAGGAATGCCGCCATAACATGTGGTCGACTGTGTTCTTGAGGATATCAGGCTGGCCCTTTCGTCTGATTGAGCCATCAACGTGAAGCAGAAGGGTGAACAGCAGATAGAGCAGAGCAGAAAATGTAAGCAGAAAGCTGGTGATCACAGCGTAAGTGGCCTACCGCCGGAACACTTCAAAGTAAAAGAACGAATGAAGAGGCGTACGAAGGTAGGCAGGTTCCCCACCACCACACGTCTCCTTATCTAATCACACCAAGTAATCAACCATGCAATGTAAACAGTCTACAGTGGCGCATAAGATATGAGAAGAAATACATCAATTTGAAGGCTTTTGGTCCGAAGATAACAGAATGAAAAAGTGAGAAGAAGAAGAAGAAGAAAGAGGTGAACAAGACAAACATTGATGAACAACTAGCAACAAGTGGCCAAGAACAGTGGAGAACGTATAAAAGAAAGTGAGAAAATACGATTAACATGAAGGGAACATTGGAACGCTCACCGTGAAGCATAGACATCAAAGCAGACAATGTGCAAGGTCAGGAGACACATGAAATCAGCAAACAAGGCACAGGAGACGGATAGGCCCAGGCAGAACGAACCGCATAGCACTTGCCAGATGGTACGGTAGCGGGAAAACATCATGAACGCTGAAGAAAGAAGAGGAAAACGATTGGACATTCGCTAGCTCTGAAGGCTCCGATTGAAGAGTTCTCTTCTGTTTTTTTCGCAAGCAACTGTTGTTTTGTTCTAGTTCGGATTAGAAATTGCCTATAGCCGGCATCAAATATGACAATCTTACGGGGTCAAGAACACGACAGTTTTGATCTTCTTTGTTCACAGGACCATCTACCGTTTCACACGATCCCAGTCATACTTTGATTATTCGGTTTCTTCAAAGCTTTGAAACAACGATGCACAAGAAATTTTCATTTGAATACTCAATCCTTTCTTCATCTCCTTAACACAACTTCGGTTCACATAAAATACTACCACCTTAAAGCACACATCTGTGCCCATAATTGGTGTCAGAATAGCTTTAACGGACTTTTGTAATAAATATTTCAATTTTAGGTTGCTAGTCGTTCTAAAATCGCCGAGAGCTGTTCATTTCTAGTGATCGGTTCACTAAGTACAAGGACGTTGGTTCGGATCTGTTCTGGACCAGACGAGCAGGCAATCTCTCTCGCTTCGTGAAATTGGCACCACACTTTTCTGGGATAACCTCGTTCCCTCCGATCCAAAAGAGATGGTGCGTGACTGCGACGAAGACCGCTGTACGCCTTAACATGCCCATTCCATGATGCAGAGAAAATCTTCTCGACAACCATTCAACGGTAGAAGACTGAAGATCTTCAAGCAGCAGGCAAATCCTCACGGGATAGGAAAACCTCCACGGAACATGGATGCGAGGAAACGAATTGAATGCAAGAAATACTCGAATCCGCACAATATGTGATGTCGGTTCGGGTGAACTAGAAAAGGATGATATAGATCCATTATGTTCCTAATCGGCAAACGAGATTTCATGTTTCTTTCGAAGACATTCCCGGTAAATTACCATTTTTTCGAGTGTGAAAGTTATATTCATGATATGGGCACATAACAATTTTAAGATTACATGACCTCGTTTTAAGAATCAAGAAAGCTTGAGAACAGCTCATGTTTGATCTGATCCCATTTCAACCCGTATGGATAACTATCTCCCTAAACTATGGTCATCGCAATGTAAGGGACGGAAAAGTAGTGCTGTGCACTCGGTTCTTCCACGCTACTGACCAGAAAATCGATCGAAATCGTTAGTAGCCTTGCTCAACGTTCATTCATATTCTTGTTTTATCCACTAAAATTTCGTTCTGTATTCGTATTAGGTCAGGGAAATTAGAAACTCATCGAAGATTCAAGCAGCAAGTTCCTGCTTGATGTCGAGTTTATGGGCCAGACATTGCTTGCTTCACCTTTTTCGTACGAATTTGTGACGCGTTGTCCATCCAATAATCAATATAAATCTTCCACAGGAGAAGTAGTGATAGATCCGCTAAAAAATGATATTCCAAGGTTAAGTAAGCTCCACATTGTTCCCGAAAGGACGTAATGACTGCCCACACGAGCTGCCTGATTTGCACACCTCTGTTCCTAACCACAAAAACCTCCATTCTTTTTATTTAAATTCCTTTCGTTGAGATGATTTTAAGGAAAAACATGTCCTGCTAAACGTAAAAATATTCAGTTCAGATCAGAATATCGGACGATTTCCATTTCAACTACGCCCAATATTGTGGATTCTGTACTGCTTGTCAGTTTCCTCTTTAGAACATTGAATGTACCCACGAAGGCACTTTTTGCGGTTTTCCAATGAACAAACGAAAGATGTTAAAATCACTGCACTTACTTTTCCATAGATGAATGTGATATTGAAAAAAGCTGGCAAGAGCTCTATTTACAGGTTCGTTGAGTTTTAAACCGGCAGGATTGTGAGTGAGCCAATTCATAACCTGTGAAATCAGTTCCGCTGAGCCTAGCTGTTATCTTCATTTAGTCACTAAAGATTTCACAACATTGTTCAGAACGGAAAAACTGACCGCGTCTAGACGAGCGACCAGCATATCAACGCCATGCCAGAAAAAATCATAGGTCCCATCACAGTTAACAAGTACAAATAAAAATTGGCCAACAAGCAGATCGACGAGCAACGTACTCCACCAGAATGGTGTTCTGAAATTATAAGTGTGCTTGAAGAGTTTTCATCGATCGCTAAATCTGGTTGGAAAGAAACTTTAGAAAACAACTCTTTTACATCATCAACAAATAATTAGGAGGAAACTACCAAATATCAAAATTTAATTAATTTATGACTGTTTTCTACGGCTGAAAGAAGGACCACTACGAAAGAAAATTTATTGGTTTACCGATGTGTTTACCGTAAGAAAGCAGACATTTCTTCTTTTCTTAAATTCATGTGGAAATAAACCACTGGAAGGTCACAGGTTCTAATGGCTCAGCGATGATGATTTCGCTAGATTTTATTTATTTCATTGTGACTTTACATGGACGTTGAACGTGGCTTCGCTCTACTCACCTTAATGGTTAAATAGATACTTAGGAGAATAGTCTGTGTATGCGATCTGAGCACTTCTATTATTTTCATCTTTTTTTAAACACTCTCCTAACGACGCCTAATCTAGAGTTCGTTGCGGAGTTGACGACGTCTAATCTCCAACCTTTACGGTTTTCTAGTTTTTTGAAAATAAACAATAATTTCTCGATAACTAGAGGACTTCGTTGGACGTGAATATTAATGCATTATAGAAAAAGCTTTGCTCTATCGTTCTATTAGTATGAATGATGTTTACGATTCTATCTAATATATGTTACTGTGACCCATCGAACATTACTGTTAGAGTTTGGAAGTGTTTTGAAACCTATGGGTCCCTATTTCAGTATTTCTTATATCTGCACAATCTATACGACAACTGCCGTTCACTACAGCAATGAGAACTCAAATACTAGTCGCTTAGCAACCAAATTTCTGGTTAGTGAACTCGTTCTGGAAAAGGTATTTGGATATTTCTAAGTGGAGAATAGAGCTGTTCCCGACCAATATACCCAACAGAACATCTATTCTACAAGCTATCGACTACTACAAAAAAGTTTAAAAAACAGTTCTCTATTTTGAAATAAACCATCGGAAAAGAAATGAGACTTGTGGGGGTTATACTGGCCACTCCTGCTGAACCATTACGACAACTGTGGGTGTCACTCGTTGCCAGAGACGAAATAGTCTGTGATTCGGCTGCAAATTGAGGATCTCTGGACTTCTTTCTTTATCGACTCGTTGAATGCTCTTCGAACTTGATATCTCCGGAGAAACCAAGTCAGCAGCGGTAGTTCGATAGCAGGGCTTCACCGCAGACTGTTGCCAGACTTCTTCTATCACATGGAGACTTGTTGCCTTTTGACTCAGATTCTCCTAGAATGATGGCCAATCTTGCAATTCGTCGACCAAGCGCTCGAATACCATTTAAAAAGTGTAATGGTGTAGATAAAAGTGAAATTTTTCATCCAAAATTTTAGGTGAAAAAAAACTGACTGTTGAGTGTATGGTTTTCTTATTGTGGGCTTTGACATCCTGCCAGACCCTGTCGTTTACAGTTGTTATCAGTCAACTGTCGCATAACTTGTTCGGCCGCTTTTATTTCGACATCTTGATATACAAAGCAGCTTCTCTGATTTCTGACTGTCGATAATGACCGAAAATTGGAATTCTTCCTTTCGCTTCCATGATGTAGAATCAACCCCTCGATAGAGCGCTTGCTAACGCTTAGTGATCTTTCGTTCTAACCAAGTAGCGCTCAAATTTTCACGGCACTTCAAAATAGGAACAATTGTGAAACCTTAAAGCAGTGCATGGGGTACAATATATCCTCGACACTTCTTTTAAAGCTCCCACAAGCTGCTCATTTTCTTCTGGTTAGCTTTCTAACCAACTCGTTGATCATGTTGACTTCTCGACTTAAATATATGTGCCTATATTATTCAGAGATTCCTTTGATTATGAACAGGTGATCGTGAAAAACAATTTTTCATGACCATCGTTTTATTGAGATCCCACCAATTCAATCTTTCCGCAAGCGCTGTTGAAATCAGCCAGCATTTCTACCATATTGTTAAGGCTTGAAATTACAAAAATGATATCACCAGTAAATTGAAGGTGGCATATCTGTGACCACAGATTTTCACAGCCATGTGGTTCCATTTCAGAATGGCCAACAGAATAGCTATCTAGGGTGACTACAAACAAACTTAACCAGATAGTGTCACCTTGTCGAATTCCTCTCTTTACCAATTGCACCGTCGTTGGAGACACGAAATTTTGGTTGCAAAGCTGTGATTTAACCTATCATCATAAAACCATTATGTGAATACTTGGACACTTGGACGTTCCATCATCACGAGTTATGCGGATCCCAACAGGTTTGTCATTCGTTTTTTTCCATTGCAATCGTCGTTTATCCCACATGGTGACGATTTTATTCGATCATGGTGGCGGATACGAGTCTCATACCGTGATCTGTAAAATAACTGCACCTGCGAGTACAGCTGATTAACTTTGGTTACGAACACGTCAGCCCAAAGTGTAGATGGCTGTCCTAGGTGACAACTACATACCTGAGTTATCGTCCATCTGTCGTCTGCTCTTCTCAGTATGTGAGTGACCATACGAAACCATTATGTACCAAAAAGTGAGTGACTGTAGAGTTTCTCAACTGTTTCAATCTCAACAATGTCGAAAGCCTCTTTTACGTTGATGAATATATGAAGTACATCGGTACTTCAGTAAGTTTCACTACCAAGAGGATATGGCTTGTCATACCAGGTTACCTTCGAAATCTTGTTTATGCATGGTTCTCGATCGTTTGTATTACGGTCATACTGAAGCGGACAAGACTGATGGTGGTTAGAAAACCTAACAGATTGGACCATAGCTGTGGATGCTGCGCAGATCTCTCTTTTTCTGAAACAATATGGACCTGTATGGCTTTCTCTAGAGCAGGAACCTATCGTTCTTATAGGTAACGTGTGGAAAACCGAACTTGTTTGTGGATGAGTAATAACACTAGGTTCTTCAAATTTTTAATCTCATTTCGTCCTGATGTGGGTGAACACCCATTTTCTCAGTGCGGTAGAATGAATATCAAAAAGTTGGAAGCACAATTCATGAGTGATTCTCAATTCGCCCTCCGAAAGAAGTACGTTCCAATTAGGCTGCAATGAGCGTTCAATTTGGTTATGCAAGCAGCAAATTTTGGCTGGCGTTGTGGATGTCCTTCCTAAGCAGCACGAGCCAAGAATATTGCTTCTCTCTTTCTAAGATCCTTTATCGCTTCGTTAGATTCGCAAGTTCGGACACATGCTAATGTTATCCAGAGCGGCGTACAACTCCATTTCTGAGTATCCCCTTAAAGGTTTCTGAAGATAGACGTATCTTGATTACTTTAGAACTTCTGGCTTTTTAACATATTACTAAAGGTGTTAAATCAGGCGGATGTGTTCTTCATCTCTCGTATAGATAACGGTATCTTCCTAAAAGAGCTCAAAATCTGAATCCTAATTTATGATGGTTTTTGTAACCACCTTTTTAAATCTTGTGGTTCCCCTACTTTTGCACACGAGACGGTAGTCCAATTTCATGTAAAACTTGGACAATAGCACTATTGGTTGAACAACTTTCGCTTGGCTGTGAACTGACCTATTTAGTCATGGTGCTTTTCAGTTCACAGATCTCTCTGAAGGATCGACAGCCAGTTAGTCGAGAAGTTTGGTGCACATAACGTAACCCTGTGGTCACTAGTTAATGCGTTAATAAGGAATTCCATAAGCCTTAAACAATCTCAAACTAACGTCCATAATTGAAAAGCTATGCAGAGAAGTGAAACCACAGAGAAAGAAGGCGCACAGGCAGGATAATTATGGCGTCCAGAAAGGCAACGAAGAAAATCTTACACTAATTCTAAATTGGTCACTTCGACAACTACGCCACAGTGCCTTTACATAAAATCAAGAAGGATGTAAATGTCATCCTACCGGCTGTCTCTTCTGAAGTGCACGACACTTCACCTTTCAAAATGCAAAGCTCTTAATCAAAAGGTGAGGAATTCCATATCGTTATACAAGAAAGGAGACCCACACAACATCGGCACAATCCCTCACTCAACGTGTCTGCTGTTTGTTGTCTACACACTCACCACTCGAGTCATCCTCAGCATGATTTACAAGACAATGCGTGAAGAACAGGTATGCAAGCAATCAAGGTTTTGAAAAGTATTCACTTCTATTACACCTGATTCGGTGTTCAGAGATCATATTCGATTTATTGCAATTAACTATGATCGCTTTGGTGATGATATCATTCCTATAGCAGCAAACATTAGCCAGGCGGAACGAATACTACCTGACTTTGAAAACATTTGAGGAAAAATTGGTCTTCGACTAAATCTCACGAAAACAATCTTCATTGAGAACGGATTGATGAATATCTCCGAATGCTCCAGCTACAGCTAACATGGTTAATGAGTTAGCTGTAGAACTGAGTACGAGAAAGGGATCAGCACGGCGGCTTTCATGAACATTGAGGATATAGTGAAGTGGATTAAGAGCATACGCGACTCCGTACCTACCTTCCGACTCCACGTTTCTCCCTGGCTTCAGAATGTGTCAGAAATCTGGTTGCTATGCAAGCACAACTTAGCATTATAGAACGCACAGCCGAGACGATGTTAAGTCTACCCCGCACCACGGAATTCAGAGACGGAATCCGAAACTCTGAATTATGTCAATGATCAAAAATTAAGAGGCGTCGTTGTACGCACCAAAATAATGAAGATAAGGTGGGCCGGACACATAAAGCGTGTGAACAACAACCGACGGACAGAAGCCGTTGGTGAATGGAGAAAAAACAAAGTACACCCAACTTCGTACCCACTTTTTCGATTTCACGATTCTCCCTGCTCTCATATACGCCTAAGAAACTTCAATGCTACATAAGAAGCATGAAAAACTACTCAATAATACTGAACACGCTCTTAATGACAACCGCTGGACAAGGCAAGTTGGCGACCGGGTACCACAGGATGCCAAACGCACAACAGAAAACCGCGATGATTAGATTTCCTGGAAAATACATTAGATGAAAAATATGACACCCAGCGTGTTTCTAGAATGAACGGAACACAACAGGCTACTCTTGCATGTGACGAGGAGAAATGGAAATTTTACCGGCGCCACCTCGAGTTACCCGATGATAAACGAGAACACGAGAGTCTATTACTTCCACGTCCAACACTGAGAGGAAGGCTTTCGAAATTGTCATTTATTACGAGTGCTCGTGATCATTCGTTATAGTCCAATACATGAGTCCTGATTTGAAGTTCTCCAGAAGTTCTACTAGCTCACACTGCTGTTAAGGTGGTCGATGATGACATCGTAGAGGGTATGGTCTTCCGTATGAAACTTCTCTAAGTCCACAAAGAATGCTTCTTTCTACAAAAGACTACAATAGACTTAAATATATTGTCTAGGCCAGTATTGACACACATTTTTTCAACTGCAGATGTCCGTTATAAGTTGTTAATGTTCAAAGAAGCCTATGTTGCTGGCCAACGAGAACTCAAATACATAACAACACAGATTGCATGAACATGTTCATCTAAATACAGAAGATAAATGGCAATACGAAAAGGCAGAAGTATGAAGAGTATCTCCTAGAGGGGTACCTAAGCCTCTGGAAAGTACAAGGTTTGTCCCTACTTAACCGCTCATCCGCAACATGGAAGGCTCCAAGCAGCCCTACGACTAACAGAGATGGGACCCCACTGTGAAGGAGATCCGTTGTCATGTACCGATGTATTTAAGCAATGATTTGTCCCTATATAGGTTCTTCACACTTGTCGATTTCCTGTACAAATGCACCGATCATGCGATTTAACACTCTCGCGACAAGTAACACCTATTGGTGTCATGAAGCTACGAGTGTAACCAGTACGACACCTACAAGTGTCATTTTCTTTCCAGTGGCTTATTTTGATGCGAAAAATTTTTCTCTTATACTTCTAGTAATCAGTCGATAGCTTATTCGACGCAGATGCTATGACGCGTGTCGTCCATGAGAGAATGCGTCCTTAATAATTTCTCACTTAATAATTCACGAAAAACCTCTTTTCGAACGGGTTCATTTCTTAAGCGAGAGACCAATGCTGTTGAAGATTGTACGAGATAGAATGTGGCCAATGAAGAGGGGCAGAAATGCCTTTGCGAGGAAGAACTGACATCTCGCACAAAGTGGGCCGCATCATTTTTGATAAGCAATTCGTCGTTTTTAAATTTTTATTCACAATCATGACTTTTGGGTATTGTTTGGAATGAGACGATATGAAAATCACAAGTTAAACGTAATATTCTTTGTATAACTTATACAACTTCAACTTCATGGCGTGGGTGGCGCAGTGGTCGGAGGCGCTAAGCAGGATAGCAGCACTGGCTCGATACATCGGAAGGCTACTGCGAGTCATCGTAAAGGCCAAATATGCATTCAGTCACCTTCAACGATACCTAATGAAGTCGAATGCATGGCGCATCCTTCAAAGATTGATCAACGCCGAAAGCTTTATCCTTAATCCTTCCACACAACTTCATGCTGACAGCAATGTGATTGAATAGTGGAAGAATGTTTTTTCTATATACACAGGAGTTGTATGTGAACCAAAACTATGGGATGGTGTATAGGAGAACATGGAGCATACATAGAAGCGCAGAAATTCTTCCAATATGCAGAGGAAAACCGATTTATACAATGAAAGTCACAATGGAAGAGGAAAGGCTGTATAGGAATTACCGCAGCGGTCGGTGTGGCATCCACAGGTGTCATAACGAGACAGTGAAAAATTAGGCGTTGTCCACTCCGCAACAAAACCAAAACTAGGCGTCGTCGCGAGTGTTAATCTCCAGCTTGAGGCTCTCGATAGCAGAGACAGCTATGCACCGCCCATGGAACAATGGATTAGTTGTCATGAGAACTGATGAGGTGAGAGAGAACGGTATAGTAGATCCTGAGCGGATGAAGATGTCCTCCACGTTATAACACATAAATGTTGGTCGTATAGCAGTCAGAACGGCCTTATTCGCAAGCTAATACGAGTTAACGGTCAATTATCCCAAATGTAGCATAAGAGCACTGAAACACCTACACGTAACTTGCACGCAAGGAAGTCTAGTGATCTACTATATTTCATTATTTATTTCTGAAATCTAACATTTACTATTTCCATGATCCATCTTTCACACCTACTGCGCGGATCCTAGCACTTCCTGCATTCGATTATCTGGTGATGACAGCCAAGAGGATCAAGCGCATCTAATCTGACTGATTTGGAATTGAAACACCATATTATGATAAAAGCGAACTGCTCCTCCTACATACGACAGTAATGGAGATGAGAGCACTTAATACGAATTTTCCTGTTAACGTATCAGGGACGCGTGCCATTCACGGCGGATCTCTAAATGGAATACGAGCAATTTTCCATTAGCTTGAGTCTTTTTGATTTCCTGAAAACAAGGAAAAAGCTCAATAACTAGAGGAATTGAGAGGTTGCGAACATTACAGCAAGGTAGAGAACAGTCTGGTCTACCATTCTGTGAGTATGAACTATATGTATGCTACTACTTACTGGGTGTTACTATATTCCACTATGAAAATACACTGCTGTTGGCACTTGGAAGTACTCTGCACCCTATTTTGAGTCTACTTCGTAGTTCTTTTCATATCATCACGTTCCATACAATGACCATAGTGACCAGAATGAAAACAAAGCTAATTCTTATTCAAATTACCGTCAGTGTACTTCGAGAAAAGCTTTCCTGTAAATCATTGAATGGAAACAACAGCTATTCTGACCCCATTCCTAGTATTTTGATCTGCTTTCGATTAGTTACCGAATGAATATGAAAAGTGCGGTAAAAAGATTCGGCAACGCACTACGCTGAAAATGCACATTGCGGTGCCTGTACCGTTCCTTAGTCAACGTGCATGGCTGTTATGACGTCCATACACATAATATGGGTTAATACCAGTTCCTTTGAAGGAGAATACCAAAAGTTACCAGTTACATGAAAAATAAGAAACGGAAACCTCTCCGCGAGACAAGATCTAGGACGTTTCCCGATGCGAGGCGATAAGAACCAGCTCGTTTGGGATGGCGTCCCGTGTTGTGAAGAGCTTATTCCATCAATTCAATGGAAGCACTTTCAGTAAAACCTTGAGAGGAAAGTGTAACTTTGTTTGTTTTCCAGAAGTACTGGTAAACTTCGTAAGTATAGTGCAAATATGACTGGTATCTGTGTAATGAGAAAGTTCTGCACATACTATGACAGGAAGTGCTAGTAATCCTGTCTTTATCATAAAATAAACCGTTTCTTCTTTTCTTTGAGATCTAATATAGAACAAATCGCAGGTTTTGCACGAGATCAGTGCGACCAGCTTAGAGTCAGATAAAGCTCACTATATTTATAACGCCTGTCTAAAAGATATCTGATATTGTGAAAGTCATCTTCGATAACACACCAATATGGTCTGTTTTGAAATTATCAGTTACAAAGAGCACCCTACCACGCAAATCGCCTAGAGTCGGGTATGACGTTACTTGGTACCAAAGAATTTCAATCACCTGAGATTTTGTGACCTTCCCGATATCAACCGACAAGTAACAGGGCACAGAAACTCTGCCAACATTTATGCTCTGAACTAAACCTCATTTCAATTGTACGAAAAAACAAAACCTGCGATAAATATTGAGACGAGACAGCTATCACACGGTAAGACACAAGTCTATTCCATTACACTTCAAAAATTTATGTAATCCAAACAATGACAACATCCTAATTAATGCTGAGTCTTCTGAGCCATCAGTTTTAACCTCAGAGATTCGGGCATCGTTGGAGGAGGCGGACGTGGAAGGTGCAGCGCCACCTTCACAGAGTCGTAAATGAACCACTGGAGAGCTGTCAACGTTCCAATCATAATAATACGCGGAAACAGGCCCTTCCACAAGCCTGCAAAGCCTAGCTTCTTGATAATTCCTCCGATTCCGGAGCCAGCATCCTGGTTAAGTTTTGACACCACGGTATCAGCGGGATGAGAAACAACGGCGCAGAACACACCTAAAACGAGGAAAGTACAACTACACGAAAGAAAAATAACAAGAGACTAGGACGAACCAGCGATATAACCAGCCACGAATGTAACCACAAGTTGTTCAGGCTTAGTACATTCGGAACGTGGTTTTGGAACCACGTGTTTGTACAACAATTCAACTGTACGCTCGAAGCAAGCGAATTTCATCATCGTGTAAGGGATTTGACGCAACCAAAGTGGCACAATGCCCTGAAACCAAATTTCTTCAGGGCAACGTGAAATGTGCTATACAGCTGCGTAAACCAACCTTGTAGAATCCCATTATGCCCTCAGCCTTGTAAATCATTGGGGCACAACCCCGAAGAGTTGGAGGTGCATCAGGTGAAGTTTGAACGCGAACTTTCGTAGCTTCCATAGGAGCAAGAAGAATATCCGCGAAGAACTCAGCAGATGCGGATGCGGCCAAATACAGCGAAGTGCGGTATATATAAGCGTTTTCCTAATTTTGGCGTACATTTGTAATCCACTAATTTTAACAACATATCTTAATTCGTTTACTCTTCAAAAATAAAAGAAGGGCAACCCACCGGTCCAAGAATTTCCGAGTACACATTCTTGAAAACCTCATAGAACCCAAATTTTCCGAGCCCTTGAAGCGAATATCCGATTAGAGTCGGAGCCCAGCCCTTCACTAATGCACGCCCTCCTTCTTCAGACACGGTGGTGCGGAAACCGGTAATGATGCTTTTGTACTTTTCGGGGTTTACCTGGAACCAATAAACTACGCTGAAGTGATCAAAAAAAAAACAAAACAAACATCTCGTCTGTAAATAAAGTAACGCTACATCCTAGTCTCGAAACTTCGCTTCAGATAGAAACTGAGACAGCACTTCCTTCGAGGCGCAAAAAACAAAAAAAAAAATGAAACAGCAAGTATCTCTATCAATAGAAGTAATCAACTGTTAAGAACCAATAGAAACCAAATTTCCTGCGTAGTTTATAGCACATTCTGGCTGATAATAGAGGTAGAACAGGACGAGAAATTGGATGTGAAAATTTTCTTTTGAATCAACTATCTTCTTAGCAAAGGCAGCCCACATCTCCCCACTCTTGTTGTTAAAATTACACTTACAAAATGTAGTCAAGGGCTGTTTTTAAGCAATAAAATACGCGGCAGAGCCAGAGAAGGAACTACAGATGGAGATAGCCGCATTAAGTCATCTGTTTCGTAAGGTATTTTATATCGCTTGATAGCGCTGACTAGAATAAAACTGCATGAGTAAGCAAACTGAAGTGCTCCTGACAATAAACATAGAAAAGACAAGTTCCCACCTGGATACGGCATTTTACAAGGTCAAGAGGAACGATGGCCGTATGCGTAATACCGCAAGAAAGGACTCCTCCAAATGCACAAAGCCCATAGTACTTCATACTACCGAACTCTACCTGGTCTGCTGAAAACCACAAAATTAAAATCAAATAGGTTCTCAGAAACGTTCATTTCGTCAGAACAAACCTGCAGCTGTTGAAACAGTCGTAGCGTACACTGCCACACCAATTCGAATGGCAGCAGAAGAGCTGCCATAAGAAAACCAATCCAAAATACCGTCAACCAATTGAGTAATACCCCACAGATAAAGAATAACCCATGCCGCAATGACAAACATAGATCCCCATATCCCTCCACGATACGAGGGATTTTGAGCACGAACGAAGTACGGCGCGAATTTCTCTTGAGTCTCTGAGGTCATTCTTAACAATGTTAGCATTTCCTAACAGTGTAGGTGAAATTACATACCAGCAACGAAGTGCTACACAGACATGAACTGCCACGTTTGCGAACCGTGAAAGTCAACACCAGCACCGCCGCCTCTCTGTTCCCTGCCCCAATTGACGCCTAACGTGCCCGAATGTCACCTGTACAGTTAACCATCCAGAAAATGCGTTCCCCACGTATTCCTAACAGTAAAGTGAACTCTCAAAAGTTTCCCCTGAGATCTTTTTTAAAAACGACTGTCTGATATGCCAAATGCTCCTACAAATCTCCTTCACCTAAAAACTTGTAGAAAAAAAGCATTTGAAGCACCAACTGATAAGTCCGCTCAAATCTTTTTTCACGAAACACCGCTCGGGAGATTTGGGATCTTGAAAGCAAACTTCAGTTTATGTCTAAACTTGAAAGGACGTATTTCTCGAATAAAAATTTCTGAATTGTACTTTATGAACGACAAAATCTATCTATATGGATCAAGAACATTTAATTAATCGATCACACGTCTCGAAAATAGCACTTCCTCATGCTTTAAAATTTAACCCAATTTTACAATGACAACTTACAAACATTGCTTCTATTGGTGTTGATTTTAGTTGCTCCAAGATATGAAGAGAAGATAAAGGTGCCTTTCAAAAAGAGAACTGTACAACTTCTAGGACAGGTACGATGTTGTGGAAACAACCGAACCAGTATACACAAGCATGGATAATCATATGTTTATTACTAAGTTAGAACCGAGTTCATAGAAGGCTCTTCTTAAACATACCGTCTTCCGATTTTCCACTGGCACAACTTGCAGTTCGGACTGGAAGAGCGAAAGGATTGGCCTTGGCGACCTCGGACAATTGGTTAACCAGTCCCATTACACCTTAAACTTGCCAAAGTAGGCTATTGAGAACCTTTTCGCAATTTTACACCAAATTTTCGCTTTCAAATAGTAAAACGTTAAATACGTCACTTAACATGGAATCTAAGAGAAGCTTAATAGCGTAAGGTAAACCTACGAAACCGTCGTCAGATTACTGTTCATTAGGGAATGTTTTACAAAACTAGCTAAAAATAAGAAAAGCACCTCCTACACCTGACACGTAAGCAAAAATGCATTCATACGTCAAAAAGATGTAGAACGGGTGTGATCGTATGATAAGATTCTCCTTCACAAGAGTAGAAAATGGAACCCTGTGAACTAGGCAACCAGGGCTCAAGGTGATAGTAGACTTTATCACGACACAAAATCACGAAACGGAGCTGTGTTGCTGACGATAGTCCAACTAGGAATACCCAACACAGGATATCTAGCACTGAAGCTAAACGAGTAAAACCAAACCCAGTAAGTAAAACTAGTGTAAGAGGACCAAAGAGCAACAACGTTCGTTTAACATCAATTTATATTATTCTCAACCTACCTACTAACAATTCCACGAAATCCTATACTTCTCAGCTTCTTCTTGACAAATATTTCCATTGAAAAGTCAGTTCAGAGAACCATAAACAGATAGTAATGGGATGGTTTGGTGACATTGAGATAGGCCGAAATGTGCCTTCAGAACGACTCGAGGTCGCAGACTGGTAAAGTACGAGTTTTCTCCCACACAGGAACACCTAGGCTCCAGGATTTAAAATGAATTAAAACACAAAACGCTTAGAACTAAAGTTCTCTAATGTTTCAACTATATGTCACTATAGAAGGCACCAGAGACATCTGTCTATATTACCCCTTTGCGACTGAACAAACCACTAGCAAGCCCATAATAACGTAGACGGTCAGAAAGTGCGTGCTGATCATCTCGTAAGCTGGAGGGGGTGCGCAGAATTTTCCGAGGAATACACAATAATTTGCGGAGAGATTGTTCCCCATTCCTCGGAATATTCTAAACATTCCTTCATTTACTTCCATCACGGTAAACAAGCACGAATAACTACTCTACACAACCAGGAAAGAACAGGATCCACTAGGCGAAAAAGTGAACCTTACATGAATTGGTAACTCGACCGATCTCCAGCGGTCAGATTGCAAGTATAAACACTCTTGGAGTGGAAAGCGCTTCGTGTCTGAGACAGCTGAATGAGAACTTTTCCGCTCCAATCAATAAGAGTTGAACATCGACACCCACGAAAACGCAGCGCCTCCTTACTCTCACCGAGTGTTCGGAGCAGTGTCCAGCTATGAAAGACTACTTAAATTACCACAAATAACGGCGAAATGCATGGTTTTCCATACTCACGAGTCTGGTGTGAAAGCACAACGTCTAGTTGTAAGATATCGCATGTATCTAAAGTGAGAGAAGACATATTTCAGATAAAACGCTCACGACAACACACTCATGAGTAGGGAACACAGTGAAGCGATACCTAAGAGATGTCACTTTCCTACTCATTTCCTACTTTATTTTAACGCAAAACTGCACTTTCGTGCAAAGGGTGCAGGCTAAGTACAAGCGTCTATGGACTATTCCGAGGGCGCAGGGTTAAAAAAAAATCGTCACCCATTCCACGAATACCGTAACCTGCACATCTAATTGTTGGTGGTTGGCTTTGAGTTGCCCTTGTGGATGGCATCGGTTTAGCTTGAGTGCGATCATCATCGTTCACCGGAGATTCGGCAAATGTCTTTGTTTATCGAAATGATGAATCTGATAATGCTTAATCTATACTTGCTCGTCTATTTATACATTCTTACGAAATGCCGTTGTCGAGCTCATGCGAGCTTGGTAAAAATTGCTGTTGTCGTTAATATTGCTGTGGTTCGATGGCTAATGTTTTGGTAATGATGGCGGATGACGTGGATTTGACGGATTGAGTATGTCTTAGACACTGGTACCAAATTCTCGACTCCGGAGAGATGAGGAGAGTGGTTGGCCCCGGCGCGAGGTGGAGAGTGGGTAAACGCGCACCTAGGTAGCTTGGCACATCTGCGTAATGAACGGGATCACTACCACTGCGCTACCCGTTTGCAAGAGAAATATTACCTGATCCATCGGTTTTCGTGTTGTTGATCGATGGCTGACATCCTGGCGATTTCGCCTTCCTTGGAGCCTGGACATATTCCATGTAACAATAACCATATAACGCTTAGTGAGTGATTACTTATAGTAGCTCGCTATAATGGTTATTTACACCGAGATCTATAGAAAGTCGGTGTTTTGGGTTATTGTACTTGCATACTTCAACGTCTCATTGGTAACTACAGTTTGTGGTTGACAAATTCAACTGGACAGCGAAATATTCAGGTTTCAACTGCCAAGTTTTCCCACTATTGTCTTAATCCGTTGGGGATAAACTTGCAAGTGCTGCGTAAATTTGGAATCAGGCGTTCATTCTTGGACTACTAGAATTACTCTCACGTTCTTAATTGTTGAGCTTTCTTTGAGTACATCGACAACGCTTAGCTGGAAATCATGGCAGATGAAGAGCTTAAAAAGGTACTGGTTCTTCTTTGTTCAACTTATCCTGAAATTTGCAGATTATTTATAGGCTTTTCAAGATCTACAGTTCAAGACGAATGAGAATCGCGCTTTGATTACTCAAGGTGAAGTGGCTAAGAAAGTGAATGCGCAGGTACAGTTTGAATCGTTGCCTTTCTTGTTGTTCACATGAAGGTGCTGTTTGAAATGCTTTATAACTCGTGAAGACAGGATAAGGTTTTCTTTGTTTTCCTTGTTATGAAGTCGATTGTGTACATTCTTCACGAAATCTTGGAACCCTCTGAGAAAAAAATCCCTTATATAGACTTGTGGCGCAGTGGGCGGAGGCGCCTTGCGACGCACCCAAGGCACCGTTCTCCGCGCCCGTGGCTTACCAAGCCTTTTATTTCCCCGGGGTCGACTCGTTGGTACCAGACTTGTCTGAAAGGATAGCAGCCCTGGCTCGATGCATCGGTTGGCCACCGCGAGTCATTGCTAGGGCCAGGTATACATTCAATCACCTCCAACGATGCTTAATGAAGTCGGATGCATGGCGCATCATTCAGGGATTGATCAACGTCAAGGATTTTATTTTTTTTTATTCTTTATATAATCTTAAAATACGAGTTGCAGTTTGCTCTTGTAGGTCTTTAATTTAGTGAAGTAACAGTACTACAACTTTTTGCTTAAGGGTTATAAATATGGAAAGTTTGCAAATGATTTTGTCAAGGAGTCATTTTCAGATGGCTCTGTGAACATGTAACTTCCCTGTAAGTACTATAATTTAAGCTTATGTTTAAGAAACAACGACGGTCAGAGTTGTCTGCAGCGAGCATTTCCGAAGTGCCAGATGGCCATGAGGTGTACAGAAGTGTTGGTCGTATGTTTCTTTTGTCCACAAAGGAGGCGGAAATTCAACGTCACAATCAAGAAGCTTTTGAATTCAAGTTGGTGTAGTTATTTCTTAAGTAGAAAGTAGTCGCGTTGGTAGAAGTTTGTTAACATTCTCCTGCAATCATTATATCAATGCTATTGTGCACATTTTCTTTATCTGCGAAGGTTGAATAGAGGCAGAGAATTTCGATTGGTAATTCAGGAATATATGTTGATCTAGGCATCATTTACCCCTAAGAATATCGGGATAGTAGCTAAGGTTTCTCATAACTTATCACAAATGTAATTCGTAAGCCCCCTCCTTGAGTCGACCAAGCCTTTAGTTTCGAAATTTTTATGTTTTAAGAACTTTCACAGCTTCAAATATTTGATTGTCGTATAAGTGGAATATTTTTTGTGAAAGCTCTAGTGATGTCATAAACAAGAAAGTGTCTGGAAAGGGGAGCTAATTTTTCGCTTATTTGTTATCTATCAATTTTTGAAGTAACTACGTTGGTCGACTTGATAATTCATAAACAGACTAGTGAGGAGAATCCTATCATTTGAAAACATCAGGAATCAGTTCTCTGACCATTTTAATATTTAAATTGATCATATGACCTGAGCATTAGATCCAAACAATATGTGTCGGTTGCAAAGTAAAAATTTTTCGATTGAAAAAAATGGTTATTAGGATCCTTTTTTGCCTACCGTGTAAGGGCCAGGTAACTTGAAACGTGCCATCTGGAAGTAATTGTAGAAAGAAGGAAAGATGCTATTTCTATGCTGTCTGGGCTTGCACACGATTAATTCAGATAGTGAATAGCGTTCCCACACGAAACGTTTTCGGAAGTAGGATGAATGAAGTGTTCGGTTTTCATCTGAACGTTGATGACCGTATATACACAAGTTCGTACTTATACATGGCTGCCAAATAACGCAAACCCTTCGCATCCATTTATTTGGAGGAAAGCGGACAGTTTTGGAGAAGGCTGATTGATAGCGAACTGTTTAGCAAGATCTGTGTGTAGATTGCTATTCCAGTTAGAGGCGTCAGCAATCACAACTCTCTCGCTTAGGCTGTGTTGTTCTAATAAATTTGTTGTATACTGCCTTAATTATCTGCGAAGCAGCACGGCTGTACTATGTGGACTTGGTGTCTTCCATTAGTTTAACTAGTATAGTTAGATGCGAGGTAGATTTAGGAGGTCTTCGAAGACGTGAATTTCTGCGTTTTAGAAAGTATAAGCAAGTGCTTCGACCAGGTCTGTGTTTGTTGTTGTATTATAGGCAGAAGGTCGACGGGTTGAATAAACAGAAAGAGTATCTACAGCGAGGTTTGGAGGAGGCTGAGCAAAATCTTCGTGAGATGATTCAAGCTCGAAGGACATGAATCGAAGTAATGTTTCAATGGGATGATTGTTAACATGTTCGAGCTTTTGGTTTCAACCGAAATGTTCATTTCTTCTATTTTCACTTTATAATATTATTCTTGCTTTCTTTCTCAGTGCTCTCTTACATGTTTATTGGCTTGGAAATTATGTATTCCTGGTGAGGTTTCATTACAATAAAAATTTTGTCAGACGAAACGAGTCGTAAATCAGTGGTAAAATTTGAGTGGTTGAACCAGTTGGAAGGACAGGTTAGATGCTAATGTTTTCGTATTTTGAAGAAACCACGTCCCTCAAGTTTTCCTGTCTCATATATATATATATATATATATATGTATATATATATATAGATTACGCATACATACGTGTATATGAATGTATGTATGCACACGTGTGTATTTACACATGCATATACACACATATATTCCCTAGCTCTATTTTGTAAAACTCCAGCGTTACTTGTGACTCAGGTTGTGCAGCTCAAAAGATGTGTGCGATATTGTCATATAGCTATTGTATGCGATTAAACTCTATGATGCCAACCTCGTGTTTTCCCATTGAAGGGCAGTGAGTTATCAATCAATACCGAGGATAGTAGGAAGTCGGTCTTGGGAATTGTTACCGAATGAGATTCGTCCGAAAGGTGCTTCACTTCACCGGATTCGAGTGGGTGTAACTAAGAAGGCCCATTAAGAACGAACTTCTGTGAAGAATCGACTCAAAGTGTTTCGGCTTTGAAGGAGGCAAATGCGTCTAGACAGTTAAAGTTTTATAGCAACCTCAAATTGCTCATATAATTCAAGGAAATCCGTGCTTATACTCACGAGTACTTCTTGGCCAATTAGCTTTCTACTATCTTTGGCTTTTCGTTTAAAATCGTGCGGTTGTGCTTCGCGAATGTCATGATAGTCTCTTTTTCGCGTTTAGTCTTGACCTCTAATCTTCTGCGTCAGTCCTGCCATATAGTTTCCATCTTGTGTTATGTGACTTGTATGAGAAGTCGTGGTTTTCATATGGGTCGTTCTATAGAGTAAGCCGTCAGTCAACGAGACATCACTTTTCAGTTGCTTCCAATCTTCTAACACTGTCCGTTTTGTCAGCACCGTTTTAACCACTCTGTTAAATCTGGTAGCTCTATTGCTACGGTGATTGCCGAGTGCAGCGTTGGGTAGAAAACTAACTGAGAGAAACGTAAAGCAAGGGCCTCAGTGATGCAGTGTGTAGCACGCGAGCTCTCGGAAAGTGAAATCGTGCTTCGATCTGACCCTCGGTTCACGCTTTCCCAAAATCACAGCATCGTTGTGGTTTTATTGCTATAATTTAAAATGTGAGTAATTTGATACCATAGCTCTTGCTTGATCTCTGCCTGAGGTATGTGCCATGCATTCGACTTCGTCAAGCTTCGTAGAAGTGGGTGAATGTATATCTGTCTTATACAGTGACTTGCGGTGGGCTGTTAATGGCTCAGATCAGTCCTACAATCCTCCTGGATAGGTGGGTACTAATTTGCTGATCCGGGAAGGGTGGAAGTCTTAGTGATCCAGGTGATGGTGAACCAACAACCACATGTGTATTGCTAGCCACCTCTAATCACTGTGCTACACGTATTCAGGGATTGAATAACCCGACCTTTATATCCTTTTTGGCCTCTTGTTTATGATGTATTCGTGGCATATAATTCCTCTTTAAATGGAAATAGAACTTTATGAATACAGACCTTTTCGACCGGTGGTAGATTTTCTCAAAACTTCTGTTAAAAACTTCATAAATCGACTAGGGTACAAAATAGTTACATAAAGAATTCATCATTTAAGTTATTTTAAGGAAGCATCCCTATTCGCTTCAGTTGAAGCCTCAGTGGTATGATAGGAGTTATATCCTATCCTTATAGGTTCACATTTGGATAGTTTTTAATGATGAGTGAGACGGTCATTTGATTGGTATCCCTGGGACATCCAGAGCACTTGGATACTTTGATGGCACGTCTTCACTGGTCCTACCCCAGCACAATTTCCATTTCTTCGGGATTTTGCTGGTTTAGCTATTGTGGTTCCCTAGAGTCCCCAGGTCAGCGTAGTAAAAGTCTTCCCTAGGTCGTCACCACTCCACGCAGTCGTCGCTCTTGTGAATCAGAGGAATATCTACACCATGCGACTAGCATGATTTAAAGACGGTGGTGGATCCTGGTATTCGTTTACTCCTAGCTCGGCTTCCGGGTGGAAACGCACTCGTTCTCAACTTAGGAGGCACTGCTGGAGATGAATCATCCACACTGTATATCACAATTCGATACATAGGATCACCTCCCAGCCATGATGAGGCGGTGAACCGCTGGGAGTCATCTAGGAGACACGACTGTACACTCTGAAATTTGGTATTTCTCTTATACTTTTGCCATTACTAAACTTACTAGCTACCGACGGACCAGAAAAGATTACCAAAAGTATGGTGGTGATAGCTCATTGTTTCCCATAAGAAATGGAAAAGTTCTGTAACAGTATCCGAATCTGACATCAACAGATGATTCATGATCGCCACTACAATCTGACAGCTCTTTTCGTACTTTACAATAACACACTGCGATTTTTGCTTTTGTCAATATTTATAAATAAAACTTAGAACAAGCATCAAGCAGCTAATTTTTATGGGGTTAGTAAAAATCTCCTCTATTCTTCACCCTTTACCCAATATTTTTATGTTGCACTGAATATGCGATTGAAGACTTCATTGGTGAAATGTCGATTTATCCAGATTTGGTGAAGTGAAAATCGTTGCGACCTCGCAAAGTAATGATAGGTTATCAGCTCTTCGTCTGATTAATGCACTACAGAAAAGATCTTCGACTTGGCGATACTATCTCGCTACAGCAATTCATAACCGCATTTTGGTGGATTATGAAGTCTTTTCTGATGGAAAGTGTAATCGCATGACATATTGCATGAAAATTCCTGTCGAATCTTTACCTTGTCGATGACACGTTCTCAATTTTTCAACAAGTATTCGCTATGAAAGTGATGTCCAAAACCTCATTGATGAAAGGATAGGGTTGAGGGCACACCGTAAAAAAAACCCAGTTAATGAAGAAACCAGGTCTAATGGAGAACGAACCAAGATAGATGATTCCCTGACTGCGTGTACGAAGGGCGTTCAATGAACGTGGAAAATGATATGGAGAAGGAGCTCTGTGGAGGAAAAGTGTACAGTATGGACTTCGTTCTGTTCTCCGATAGAAGTCATTGACTATGCGTTCTCCTTTTCGACTCAACACTCATTCGAGCACCCTGTCGTGTAGCTCAGGTGCTGCTTGTACCTCAAGCATATCGAAAACTTATATCCCAGTCAAAGCGTTTGAGCGGCAATAATCTTTAATAAGAAAATTTTATTCAAGATTCAGCGGAATATACATCAATTGGGGAGTGTAGGTGGACATCTGATCAGAATAGCGGCCAACAAGAGGGTCAGGAAGAACAGTGCGGTGGACGCCAATGCTATACAAACAGTCTCTGAAGGCTACCAACAACATGAGCAGACATTTTTAGCTCACGTCAGTAAGCTTTGTTCACGAATGGGAACGATTTACGGGTAGCGGAATAGCAATCGCAATTGTCCCTAAACATTAATAAGAACGAGCGGCTTAACGAGGGGGATCATGCTGCACACGTGCGATTCCTGACGTAGGTCCAACAAAGTGTTTAATTATGTAGGTAGCAAAACTCTATTGTCAGTTCGAATTTGCAGCAAGATTTATTATCATATACTTCATTAGATCTGGGGGTGGGATGGCGCAATAGTTAGTAATGCCGTCGATCAGGAAGCAAAGGCTCTTGTTTGATCCCCACCTCGCGCTCTCCTCCAACTCACGTGGGAACGCCTTAGCTTGACTTTTTCCAAGATTGCAAAGACTCGACCAGTATTCTACGATATGAAGAAGACTAAATCCTCAGGCAGCAGCGGAAGCAATACGGGAAGTGTTCGTAGACCCCTATCGACGATGAATACGAGGAAAACGAGTCGAATGTAAGAAGTACTGGTATCCGCAAAGTGGATTTGATCATGGACCATATGAAATGTAAAAATGTAAAAAATTTCATTAGATCAGTGATACAGTGACTGACATGGATATTTTTTATTTTTACTTATTTTTTAGTTTACCTAAGTAATACAGTATCTGTCAGCGATGTAATCACGATAATTATCACTGGATTATAATGTCCAGCCTTGGGGTGGATACATTTTTACCGCATCTTTTCGTCAACGAACTTCGTAGTGCTCGAAAAAATGAATATGGCATGGTATAAAGCACGAGACTACACGCAGGATATGGAATCGCTTCCCAAACCAGCGTTTATAGTTGCTGACAAGCCATCGACTCCATATGCGTTCGAGCGCTGCCGTGGATGAGGCAAGCCTGAGCTTGTTTCACGTTGTTTTCTCACACTAACGGCTACTCGGCGAAATTACTTTGTTGAGGCATTCATAGAATCCCGGTCATCATCCATCAGTATTTTTCAGTGCGGTTTTCTAATAGCGCAGAACTTTATAGGCATGCGGGTGTGATCTCTAAGAAGCTTGCGTTTGTCCATCTTTGTGGTTGCTGGATGTCGCTGCACATGTGTATAGGAAAGTAGTCATTATCACCACTCTCACCAAGGCCATTTATTATGAAATCCATAACTTGGACTTTTCAAAAAGGTTCACATAACATGAACAGCGACTTGAATACAAGTAGAAATTAGCACGTGAGTTGTTTCCAATTTCTATCCAGGATACCGCCACCTATTTTGAGACTTGAAGCTCTAGTTTCTTCTCTCATTTTAGCTACTACTGATCTCCATTGAGATCCGAAACGTAGGTCAGTATCCCTTGAGGTGGTGAGCCTTTTCAGGCATATCCACTGCATCGAAAGATCTGTGATCCTCGATGTCAAATATGGGACATGTCTACAACGAGAAACGGATTCGTCGTCCTTAGTACGACAAGGAAAAGATAAATGATAGGAGGCTAGGTTATCCATAGAAATTAAGGGAACTCCGAGGACAAATGGTGGTAAAATTGTTCAAAATCGCCAAAATCATACTGTTACTTACAGAATGATCCATGTATATAGGTTAGCTCTCATAACAACTTGCTATCACGGTCTATGAATAACGGGATGAAATCCAGTTGATGTTTTGCCTATTCAGATCTCTTGCGTGGGAATTTGTATAAAACCTAGGTATGAGTACCAAGCTTCTTAACGCGTTAACAGTGTTTATATACATTACGTTATTGACGATTTGCCTATGTACCTCTCACTTTACTGCCATTTTCGTCCGTACATATCGGTATCCGTGCCGACCGCACGTAGCAATCAGTATTGGAGGTGCTCTTGTATCAGAGAGTGTCATCACAAATATATGGAAGTTGGTCATTCTTCTAACAACATGTGAGAAATTTTCGCCCGGACTGAGAAAAACTCGAGCAAGGAAAACTCAGTGGAGTAAGAAAGTACGCTAAGAAAATATCTTTGAAGCACACTACTGAGTTTCATTATAAAACAAACTGCATTCGTTCAAAAGATAAAAATCTTTTTTCATGCCATAGTATACGTTTTCAGCAAGAAGGTTGGCTCAACTGAGTTCAGTGCCGATCTGTGCTCCACAGATCATTGCCGTTGACGGGTGGTTGGTTACTGATATCACCGTTTGGGTAATAAAAGAAACTCACTGACAGAAAGGCAAAACGAGGGCCTCAGTAGTGCAGCTGGTAACAAGTAAATCCCTGGTGAGGTGGTCAAGAGTTCGAAGCTGGCTTGTATTGTAGAGTTTTGCAAATATCTCAGCATATTATTGAAGCTGTCCGTCTGCTCTTTCCCACTACGTTCATGTGTTGATTATTTCTTCAATTTTGCGAATATTCAACAGTGTTTAGGGTGTGGATTGTGGTAAACTTCGTAATTTTCATCTCTTTGGGGGGAGCAATGTGTCAAGGGTTGCAGCTACTACTGGGAAGATCAGCGTTGCATTTGGTCCGAACACACTTATAAGGTAAAAGACGCACCTTCCAACAGTTATCAAGTGGAATTTCTACACTTACAAAATTCCCGGGACTTCTGGTAACTAGACATTCCCTTTATATCTGCTTAGATACTTTGATGAGCTGTCTTCCACGCGTCGTACGAGTCCCAAAACATCTTTCATTGGTGCTTGTTTCCAGCCGTCATCCATAGAGGCAGTCGAGATCGTATTTGCCCTTAGCTGTAAGTTTGAAGTCTGTTTTCCTCTCCAGTTGACAAGCTGAGTACCTGTGGCGAATAACTTTCCCTGGAAAGTAGAGATGGCCGAGTTAGGGCGTCCTCTGCTCCGTGCTGGCTTTTGTGAATTCAGGGGAAATTTCGTCTTCTTGGATTAGGGCTTTTCCAGAGTGACACTGATGGTAGCGAACCCTGTGATCAATCAGTCAACTGACTGCTCGCGGATGACATAACAAGGTGGATCTTCAGAACCAGAAAATTGTTTTTAAAGGACGAATTTTAATACTTAACAATCTTACAAATAAATTTCTAAATTTGTATTCCTTATGTCACTGAAGTACTGAGAGTGCAAAATCTAATCGAACAGTTCCTGCAAGATTTGAGTGAAAATTTGGAAGTGTTAGCGACAACTCACAATATGAAAAACTTTGTGTGGGTGTAGAAATAATTCAATGCCGACCAGGGATAGGGAAGAACTCTGTCTCACACAGCAGTGTTTGGCCAAGGTAGATTGTGAACAGGTTTAAAACCCTCTTCTCGGCTTTAAGCACAGTGTGAAGCTTCTGTGAGAACAAATTCGAGCCGATGGCAAAACAACATGTGTTTTTTTACCTGCATGGTGTCGTGCTCAACGCGTCAGTTCCCTGAAAAGGTAATAGCGAGTTCGATCTCCACCGTAGACATCTGTGGTCCAGAGTTTTGCACATATTTCAGCATCATTACGTTTATCACCGAGAAGTTGAAAACGACTGATGTGGCGTGTACAGCTTCATCCTAGTAGTTAGAACGTAACTTGTAGGTATTGTGGACAGCCATGAACGTACACATCTGATTTTCTTCGTATCGTCGGGGCAGTACACATCTGGGTTTTTCCAAATATACTTCCCTTTGAGAAACTGGAGTCGGGGAAAAAGCGATATAGTACAAATAAAGGACCACTATTCTCAGTACGCATTAGGGTTATGCATTGCTGAAGAAAACGTGCTCTAAAGCAAAGTTGCTGCCGGCTAGCATGTTTTTCTAAACATTTCTGCAGTTTTTTTTTTTGGATTATTGCGTGGATTCCTCTGTTCCCTATCTTTTCTTTAAATAGTCGTTCAGCATTGATGTAAACTAGCATCTGCTGTATCTTTCGAAGTGGATCTTTGCGAATCAGCTATATTTGGTTGCTCCAAAGAGCTATTTTTCACGAGTTATCTCAACATTAAGAAGTATTTTCTGGGACGGTGAAAATGGCATCTTATGAGCTGCTGTTGAAGCGCGTTGGCTCACAAAAACATTTGCTCAGCTTTTGGAATGATTTGACCGGAAGCGAGAAGGAGTCGCTGGCTCAACAAGTAAGTTTTGCGAGTTTTCACTGATGGAGTGTTGATTATGCGTAGATTAATAACGGGAGTTGCCGATGGCACTGGTAGATAAGAAACTAGCTGAGAGACGGGCGATACCAAGAATCCGCATAGTGTGGTAGTGAACGCGTTAGCCCTTTGGAAGGGTAATGGCGCGTTCGATCCCCACCGCAGGCACCTGCGGTCCGGTGTTTTGCAAATGTCGCAGCATGGTTATGGTTGTATTTCACATAATACCCCGCCGTGAGAGGTTCTAATAGGCAGCAAACAAAAAAGTTAACATTAAGAAGAGTTCCGGCGTGGAATTCTTTGCTTTTTATCCACAATGATGCTGAGACATTCGCAAGACTTGGACGCCGGGCCAGATCGAACCACGATTAACCTTTCCGGGGGTCGCTTATTACACACTGCACCACTGAGGCCCTTCTTTACTTATGGTTTTGCTCCAACCTTAACTGATATCTGTGTAGTCTCTTTATGACACTGGTTGTTGGTATTTTCAGATTGAGTCTATAGATTTTCGGTCCCTTCGAGATATCTTTGAAAACTCGGCTAAGGTTTACTCAGCATGCGCAGACAATCTCACACCTGTACCGGACGATCATCACATTGTACTCCGAAATTTGCCGGAAGAAGAGAAACGGCATTATTGGAGAAAAGGTATCTTATTGCGTTCAGATAAGAAGTATTAGTTCTCACCTATCATTATATCTCTTTTCAGGGTTAGGAGCTATTTCTAGAGGAGAAGTAGCAGTTATTGTATTAGCAGGCGGGCAATCTAGCCGTCTTGGCTCATCAGCTCCGAAAGGTAATTCTGGTTTTGAGAACCCCATAGTAGAGTTTTCTTCAACGGTTTTATTTAGCTTTGAGAGTGCATAGTTTTCAAGCTGCTATTTCTTTTTTGACGGCTAAATACAAAACTTTATGAGTATTTACGGGCAGATTGCGCCCTCACTCTCTGTCAGCAGATTGAAACCATCATTATCTGGGAGGAGAGAAACACAGACTTGACATCTTGGTGAGATCTCATATTCATTGTATAGGCTATATACGTGTTCAGTGACTTCTACAATGCTTATTGGATTCGAACACATGGCGCGTCCTTAAGAAATTGGTCAGCGCCAAGCACTCTATCTTTTATACTTTTTAATCCAGATATTCCGAAAGCCCACATCATTTTTGCATATGAGCTGTTATTCAGTGTGGAATTTTTGCTCACTCTTAGCATGAAAAAGAGACAAAGCAATTTCCTTCGAATTTTCATCCTGTGTTTCTCTTAGACAATTTCGTATTTTCTCATTAATGCAGGTCACTAAACTCTTCCAGTATAATTCCCACGGAATTGATTATAGCTTGTTCAACTTCAACTTCTGTTCAAGAACGCTTGGTTGTGAAAAGTTGTAAATCATTCTGGGGTGGGCAGGTGGGCAGATAATTTATCTCCTTATTTATCCTGTTTTTCAACTCATTGTTGCCTGAGCGCCGCAGTCATCATTCACATAGGTGAAGTACTACAAGGAACGATGTGTAGCCATATTTGTTAGCTTGGATAGCAAATTCTGTCACCTGTATTACCCCTAATCCCATTGATCGTCGAGTGACTCGAATGGACGTTAGTAGGTCTTCCATTTTTCCCTATCGCGCGTAAGAGTAGCCCAATGGGAACTGGCTGAGTCATACTAGTCTTCTAGACTTTTCGTGAAGAACTTCGACAATCGGGTCAGTGGTCTTCCTGCGGTACATTTGGCTTCCCGAATAATCCATTCACTAACGGTTGCTGTCCATAGTTTGTCATTCATACGCACTACGTGTCCGGCCCACCTAATCTTTCGAATCCCATCCTTTACCTGTGTGGAACGGGATACTCCTAGGATCGTCCTTTCGACTGCGCGTTCGATAACGCTAAGTGATCTTTTATCCTGCTTGCGCAGCGACCAAGTTTCTGACGCATACGTTAACACAGGATATACCGTTGAGTTGAGAAGGTGGAAACGGAGTCGGGTGTTCTTCGTTTTGTTCACTATATCCTCGATGCACTTGAAATCTTCCCAAGCCGTTCGTTTCCTTCTGCTCAACTTCGGAGCGAAGTCGTTCATCATTTTAATTTCCCGATCTAGATAGATGTAACTGGAGCATTCTGAGATATTCGTTTCGTTGAGCATGAATGGGACATACGAAACCAATCCGTTCATCATGAACATCGCTTTTGTGAGATTTATTTGAAGACTTATCTTTCCACAGGTTTTATCAAAGTCGCCAAACATTCGTTCCGGTTGGCTAATGTTTTATCTTACAAGGACGATGTCATCAGCAAAGCGCAGATGTTGTAGTTGCCAGCGATCGATTTTCACTCCCATGTTGTTCCACTTCAATGTTCGCATGACGTTCTCGAGGATGGCAGTAAATAATTTTGGCGAGATGGTATCACCTTGCCTAACTCCTCTTTTGACGTCGATGTTAATATCGTTGTGGAATGGTAATATCTTGGTTGTGAAACTTTTATATGGCTCACAGGGATTGTTCATATATTGAGTACGGACTGTGCTTCCATGACTGCTATCTCAATTGAGTCAAAGGTCTTCTTTAAGTCGATGAGGGTGAGACAGAACGGTCTTTTATACTCTCGCGACGCTTCAGTGAGTCTTGCTATCGTGTGGACGTGGTCTATGGTACTGAATCCTCTTCGGAACCCTGCTTGATCACATAGCTGTCCTTCATCCGGTGTTCTGTCATTCCTGTTTAGGATGAATCGAGTGGAAAGTTTGTAGGCAACAGCAGTAAGCAGGAACATCTCTTAATAACTCAAAAGACCGACTTTCTACAAACCTCGGCATAGATAATTGATATATTTATTTATGTGATCTTATAAACTGATCTTGTTAAGCTGACGCGAGGTTGGTACAGATCTTCGTTATCGTTGTCGTTATTTTTGATGTTATTGATCGATGGCTGACGTTTCGGTGACTTCGCCTTCCTCAGAGCCTGGACGTATTTAATGTTAGAATACTTTTTATTATTCGGTGGAAAAGAAAGGTTAAAGTGTTAATGAAGATCAAAGTTTCAAATAGACGCCATATTGAACAGAAAGGCCTTGAACACTCACCGTGATGTTACGTGCGGGACTGGCCCACACGTAGTTCACGTGGAATCGCGAGCAAGACACGCCCCGGAGTCAAAATAGCATTTTGAAATAGGGCGCCAGGTCACTCGTGATAGTGAGGCATTCGTCCTTCCGGTTCATCTTTGGATTTTTGAAATTTATCCAAAACGCCTCAAGAGTTTTGCGCGTCGATGTTTCCGATTCCTGCACTAGGATCCGCACATTCACTTCGCCGTTGTGCTTTTGTGCCCTATGCGTACCTAGAGAGGTGTTTAAACGGATTTTAGCTTTTCCATTTAGATGTTCTTTTATGCGGACACAAAGCGGTCTACCCGTTTCCTCGATATATTCCTCGCCGCATGCATTAGATCAAGTATATTATACCTAAACTCATGCAGACAGTAAGCAGGTTGGGCGATAGTTACCGACATCGTGGAGGTCACCCTTCTTGGACAATAGCACGGTCTTGCTGGTCTTCCATTGAGTAGGGACTTTGCATTCAGGCACGTAGCATATGAAGAGCTGACACAGTGTGTTGATCAGAATTGGCAGAAGGTTCTTCAAGTGTTGAGATCATATCCTGTCCGGACCTCGTGCTCTTCTATTCTTCACCGACGAAATGACATATCGAATTTCGGAAAGAAGAACCGGTAGTACAACATATCCATTCTGATTTATTTTATATGATGGAATGTGGACGTGGCTATCGATAGAGATCTGAGTAGTATTCGTGAATGATTTTCTCCATTGCCTTTCTGGACGCTGTAACTGTTCCATCTGGGCGTCGGAGTGCAATCATTTTGGTCTTGTAATCGGTGGTGCTTCGATGGGCTTTGCGAACGCTTTTCCCAGCCTCTGCAGCTTCGACCATTACTGCTGCTCTTCTCACTTTAGGATCTTCTTTTATCGCCTGTCTGCATTGTTTTGTGGACCTGAATTGGCGGTTGCCTGCAGCTCATCTGATTCCACGCTGGCGTATCAGCTCGATTGTTCCTGGAGACCAACGTTTCTTGGTGACTTTCGAACTCTCAGCTTTCATAGCGCTAACGTGAAGATGTTGAGTGAGGCGATAGTATTCGTCTTCGATATTGTTGAGAACAGCATCTTCCCAACAGCCGACTAATGCTGAAGGAATGTCAGTTTATGGTGGTTTTTTTTAAAATTTGGTGGCTTTCTCTCCTTTCCACGAGTAACGAAATCTTGCACAAAGGAGGCGGTGGCCTGATTTCTTGTAGAATTTTATGATAACAACGACATGGGTTAGACATAACCTTCGGTTTACTATGATATAGTCTATTTCGTTATGGTGCTCTCCATTGGGAGACTCCCACGTCCACCGTTGAGGGTGAGGCTTCTGGAATTGCGGGTCACCATGGATAATCTTGGTCGTTATGATAAACTCGGACCGTCGCGCACCCTGCACGTTCTATTTTAATTCGCGTGTCCCAGTGTCGCGTTGTTCAGACGTTCTTCTTGGCTTCTTGGTCCAGTCTTGGTGTTGAAATGTCCAATGATGACCTTGAAGAATTTATGGTCTTCTCTTAGAACTTCTCCAAGTCCATATAGAACGCTTCGACTTCTTCTTCGTCATAGTTTGGTGTCGGCGCGTAAACGACGAAGATTATCAAAGCCGGTATTAATTCACATCTCTTCAATCGCACACGTTCGATTCGGGTTTCGAATGGATTAGTGTTCATGGACAAACTCGTGTTGACGTGAACGCCGACGCAGCCGACTGTCACTCTGAGAGACACTACGCACTCATTGACGGAAATCTTTGTAGAAGTTCTGTAAGTTTTCATGTGCCTTCTTTTCTCCTTATTTTTTGGTCCTTTCTGCGATAGAGTTTGTTTTGTCGACGAGTAGTGCGAAGGCTTCCATCGGTCTATTCTCGATCAGGTAGTCTGTAGAAAATAGGGCAGTTCGTCAGCGGCTGATACGATTCAAGAGATACAATCCACTTTTTGGCCAATAATTAATTGCTACTTCATTTCAAAATACTGTGATTATAGAAATTATCGTATAGACTCGGTGGATACAAAAAGATTTTTAAAAAACATTGAGGTATGCTTTTCATAGCTTACAAAGGCTCACCAGAAGTTGACAACAATGTGGTTGAAAAAGAAGTGAGACCTAAGTTGCACAGAAAATCGAACTATAGAGCAGAAATTGTTATGAAGGGGTTAAGAAACAAGTTTACGCGTTAGAATCAATTGGCTAAATTTGCAGTGTTAGTTGGGCTCTATTTATTATAGTGACAAATATTATGTAGTTCGAAAATTAGTCTACTCTGACTCTACTTTATTTATTCTGTCTAGTTGAAGCTCCGGAATTCTGGAGGCGGTGCTCGCCGAGGACAGTTTCATCTTCGACTTAGTTTCTGATGCACTGTTCGCATAGAAAGTTGTTGAAGTACCTGGACGTAGAGTATTCGGTAGGCAAAAGATGAGGCGACGTTCCATACTCTACGTGTTCAACTTCTGCAGTGTCACTAGTGCGACACGGTACCAATTCATGCGGTATCTATTTTTCGAGGCAGATGCGGCGAAACAGTTCACTAGCTTAAACCGAGTTCTTATTATTTGTTTTCGAGCAGTTGTTTGTTTATTTGTTGCCACAAATTGTTCCAGTTCTTTGTTGACAATAGCAAAAGGAGGTTGTAACGTCCATCATCTTCAACGTCGATTGCGCCGCAAATTTCTGAAAACAACGCTGCACTATGCATTTGTTAGCACTTTCTTGGCCTCGTATCTCTTTAATCTTCCGAGCCTTTTTCTCTGCCCTACGATCGATTTTGGAATTTTAAAAGTAGATTTGCCGAGGTTGCTTATTTTAACATTCTCTTTATCTCTTGTTAAATTTTTCAAAGATATACAGTTCATATTAAGCTTAAATTATAGGCAAAATTGCAATAACTGCATTAATTTTCTAACAACCAAATATGTAATAAAATGAGAAGTTAGTGTGAGTTTGTTGGCATGTTGTAAAGGATTTTAAGAATTAACTAACAGAATTGCCACCCATTGTTTTAACACCTCATCGTGGTTCGAGAAGGGTTTTTAACTGCGATGCATACTATGCAGCTCTGGTACGCAACGTTGGTAAATGGAGTTTAGTAGGGCCCACTCGGATTATTCGATGATTAACAAGGTCATGGGTGGTACAGACGATCTCGAGCTAAGCCATCGAAACCAATGAATCCATTCTACGCTACTATGATTGAAGCACTTGGGAATTTGGTTTTCACCCAGTAGTAAGTAATTTTCCAATCGTTTTTACGAGTCGTATTAACTTATTATAGTCGGTGGAGATAGAAAACATAAGAAAGACACTGAAATGCACTTCACATATCACACAAAACATAGCAGAAGTTTGGTTGGATGCTTGACAAGTTCTTTTAATTAGATAACAAAGTTAAATATGGTGTGAGAACGTGTGAGAACATGAAGACACGAAGAGAGAGAGGAGACGAACATGGCAGATGTGCAGAACCGAAAAAACTTGGAAAATATGATAGAGGAGCCGAGTTATAGAACAAAGAGAAGAAACCACTGCGTGGTGTATTTTTGGTGCGCATTATGGCCGACTCGTGTTGGTTTCAATGCTTACGTACCCATCAACAGTGCAGGAAGTCAACGCGAATGTGTTTATGTGAAAACAATTCGGGAAAAATAATTCTGATTTTTCATTTCGAAAATTTACCACTTGCTATTACCAGAATTCACAGCTACTGTTATGTGTGAAAGGATAAACATTTTTTTATAGGGCCATCGATGGTGACGACACTGGCATGTGATTAGAAACTGTCTCGAAGCTCTCTCAATGAAGTAGTTCGAGTTAATTTATTGCAGAGCTATAGTGCCCTGCCGGTAACGGATAGCTGGCTGAGCGAACATTCGAAGTGATCATGTGCTTACTCTGAAAAGATTGACGAGATCGTGTTTAGCCACTCCGTGCTTGGAACGCTTCAGTGCATCTTGAGTATATCCGTTGATTATGCCGAATACCTATGCCTAAATGACTGGGAAATTCAATCACAATGGTTCGAAATTGGTTTTAGCAGTATCCCTATCCTCTACTGCAATACTCAACGAGTAAATCTTGAGCAATTCAGCCTCTATGGTAAACGCAACGGAGATACTCATAGTCTGCTTAAAAACAGCAGAACAAAACCCTGATGCGAAAACTACAATGTTAACCGCGTTCGTCGATTAAAAGTAGGAAGCATATTGGAGAACCAACCTAATGTACAGCTTCCAGAACGAGAATCCTGTTCAAATTGGGAGTAATGAAATGAAATAGGTTTTATTGGTATTTTTGTTAGCAAATGTTTGGGAAATTTCAGGTACGATTCCTCTTGGTCTTGGTGTTGCACCATGTGATTCGCTGTTGGGTATTCAAGCATCAAAAATTTCTTTGCTACAAAAGTTGGCCGCTGAGGAGTTTCTTCAGACCGGAGCCAAAGCAAAAATTCAGTGGTTGGTGGTATGTTAAGTATAGTTTGCTATTAAATTCTTATTTCTTCATTCTTTATTATTTTTAATAACGTGCTTCTTACTCTGCGTACGCTTAATGTCGAGTTTTAAATACATGTAGGTATGCTCTGTGTGTTAGTACGTGAAGTGGTTAAAGTCTTGGTAAATTTCGTAGTCGTACGTTTATTAAGGCTTATAATGACATCGCAGTCAACAGAGCAAGCCACACGCAATCATCTCACGGAAGTTGTGCCAGCTACTGGATTGACGTTCGAACAAATCACCATATTTTCTCAGGCTGAGATTCCGGCCTTCGATAACGAGGGGAATCTCATGCTGTCTAACAGGCATACAGTAGTCACTGCTCCAAGTATGTGGTATTCATTTTACTAAAAAAAGGAGAAAGCTGTCGGCGCCGATCAATCCCTAAGAGATGCGCCATGTATTCGACTTTACAAATAATCGTTGGCGGTGATTGAATGCATATATCACCTTACTCGTGGTGGCCTATGATGTATCGTGCCAGTGCTGCTATCCTCCCAGACAAGTCTGGTACAATGTTTTAACGTTTTGTTTTCTGCCTTCTATAATTTTCATGGCAGGTTACTAAGCGAAATACAACCACAATGTTGCTGAGATATTTGCAAAACTCTGGACCGCAGGTGTCTATGGTGGGGAACGAACGCGCTATTATCCTTTC